CAAGAAATCCAGAATTCTTTCATTTTTCCAACTTCACTCCCCAGACCAAGAATGTACTGCAAATTAAAAGATAGCGAGAGATCAAGAGAAGCAAGCAACCAACAGGGACTTATAACTAGCCTACGAGGACAGGCTACAACACCATCCACCCTTCAAAGCCGCCTCACAGCAGCATCCACGATCTTCGCCGTCTCCTCAAACTTGGTAAAAGTAGGACAATGCCCCGTCTCCACCGCAAACGTCTCGACCTCTCTACCCTCCTCCCGCATCTTCTCCACAAACCACTTCTGATAGTCCATAGGCACGGTCAGATCCTCCGTGGCATAGATATACACCACGGGGATCTCCCGCCACGCACACCGTTCCGCATCCTGATACATGGCCTTCCCGTTCCAACGCTGCATAGCCGCAATGTAAGCATCGGTCTCCTCAGCCGACCGACCAGGTCCAATAATCAATGCTTTCGGGTCATGACTGGTCGTACTGCCATCCTCGGCGATATCGAACGCCAGGGGCATCAGATCCTCATGTCCGAAAAGCCTCACGATGCTCATCATGGAGGTCTTCTCCCTGACTGCGAAGGCTGACAGGAAGATGAACAGGACGACCCCGCCCGGCCGGCCCTGTTGCGTTCGGGTCTCGGCGCCTAGACCCACCAAAGCATTGGTGCCGACCAGGCCGCCGTAGGAGTGCATGAACACCACGACCTCCCGGCCGGCTTCGACGAGGCTTTCCACATAGCTGCGGACGAACTCCGTGTCGGAGTACAGGTCTGCATTGGGAGGACGGGCACCGTTCATGGAGGGCAAACGGGGAACATGGACTTTATGGCCCTTGGACCTGAGGGCGGCGGTGAATTCCGCGTAGTGGACGGGGGTGTGAAAAGCGCCGTGGAGCAGAACGATGGCGGGGCTGGAGTTGGGCATTCTGAAGGTGAAAGGGCGATACGATGGGGGAAGAGTTAGAGCGGGAGAAGGAGAGTAGCCGAAAGATTTGAATCAATTAGGACAAATGAATATTGGGGTGGAGGTTAGGGTATATGATTTTCTTTTTTTTTATATATATATATATGTATATATGTTGTCTAGGGAAGGGGAATGGGGTACGTTATTGTTTCTGGCGAGGCTCTGGTCTAGTGAGAAAGAAAGCTAACACACCGTTAGCTCATCTACCAAGATTATCGTGCTGGTTGATTCCTGGTAACATTTATTTGGAGGTGGGGCGGAATCTGCCAGGATGAGGTGAGATTCTTGGAGTAGGGAAGGATCACTCCCCAGTCCCAGTTCTATGTCCTTGGCTCCCTTTGAAATCCCTTTAGCTGCGGCTATGGACCTAGAAACCATTGGATTGCAATCCCTCAGAGGCTCGTTCTCTCTCAACTTTCGTCCCACTAGGTCGTCGAGAGACACTGTGTTGGGGGTTACTACTGTTCATGAAAAGAAGCTTCTATACTGGTGGGTACTACGGAGTACTCCGTACGGAGTCGCATATTGAATCCACTAATCACCCACGCTCGCGATTTGGGTACATAATCTACATCTCAGTTCGACAAACGCTCCAGATCATGGTATTGGGGGCCCTCAGGATAGATACACTTCTACGAGGCATCTTACCCCCTACTTCGAGATCAATCACCGACCAAAAAGCGGCCCTGAGCTAGTCCTGCTCTAGCAAGGGGAAGTCACTGGAACTGAAGTTTCCCCAGAGAAACAGTTCGCTAGACGGTTAGTGTTGTCAGCCTTTCTTAGAAAAGAAACCGAGTTGAGCAGAGATTGTCCATTTCAATGAACGTATCCGGACTATGAATCGGCTCTCTTCCTTTCGTCGATTCCTTGGACAGCAGTCCGGCCCACGAGTACCCCGGCCTTAGGTTACATAGAGGGTACGTCGAGCTGTCCATGTCGATGAGAGCATTGGCTGTTCCGTGGAGTGACCTTGTTTGCCGATATCTAGTGGGATAGGGATGAAGAGCGTGATCGAGACAGCGTTCGGATTAAATCACGAAAACAAATGTTCCAAGATTCTCAATTCATTATGAAGAATAGACCTCTATGAAGAGATATTCAAATGTTGGATGCTTCTTGAACCAACGGCCGAGGGATCTTCCCGAGCGGTTACAAACTACATCGTACACCGTACTAGTAGTAACAACTGCCCGGCGGGGGTCGGTAATTCCAAGGTTAGCGGGCGATCTACCGGGCCAGCCGGGGGACGCTAACCTTATACTAGAGCATAGGCGACCCTACCATAGATGCCTTGCGATGTAGGTGTAATCTTTGTTCTGTGTTTGTAGATTTCTTTGTCCAGCCCGGTGCTCAAGACAAGAATTGCCCTGTGTCTATCTACTCGATCAATTTTTGTTATTTTGTATTTTTCATACCATTCTATTTCTTTTCTAGACCAGTTGGGAGTTGTATAAATGCATTGTACTCTACGGAGCCAGTACTCTATTATTCTTTCTCTTGGACGATTTAATGCTTCAGCCTTCTAGATTCGGCGCAAGATCATGGAAAATCAACAGATCCTACTATATCTCAAGATACGAGCCATACTCGGTCTAATAGAACACCGAAGAAAGCTAGACTAAGAAAAGCAGATGGACGACAGGAACAGAAGTGTCACTCCTCTAGAGTAAGCGTTCCATTGAAGCTACCTCCCTCACGCTACCTCTCTATCTATTTAGCCCGGCTCAGTAATCTGTTCAGGGCATGCGGGGATCTATTCAAGGAGTACAAAGCGGCGAGAAATAGGCTAGACGCGAGGACCGAAAACAGAAAAGGAAAGACAACAATGCCTAAAGAAACTCGGTATATATATATGCAATGCCAACCGGTCACATCACAGTTCGTCCTTGCGGCCCGAGGCTGGATGGACGTCTTCCTCTCCTCCTGGGCACACGGCAGGGGTGTTGACCAGCATTGAGTAGACGCATTTCTCGTCTTCAGCAATCTTCAGGATCTCATTCTCCTCCCCACACTGCAAGACGACCCTCGTGGACCGAGCAGGACCGTTCCAGCACGTCTGTCCCTTGGCGTACTCAAGAGATATCCTCTCCTCGGGAACAATCTCACCGGACTCGTTGAGCTCATCAATGGTGACCGATCCAATGCGAACGAAGTTGCCCATGCGTGCCGTAGATCCGCCCTTCTTCGGGATCTGTTTAGTCTGATCCAAGAAGCAGTGTTCGTATGTGTACTCTCCGGCATCCTTTTGGATGCAGACACCCTTAAGAGCACGGAAAATAGATCCCACACCGTAGTCCGTATCGAGATCCTCCTTGTGATCCTTTACCTGGTTCTTCAAATCTTCGATGGACTTGCGGACTGCATTGACGGCGTCACGGGCCTCAGTCACTGCCTTGGACTCAGAAGCGGAGCCCTCGTCTTTCGTAGGTAGGACGCCGTTCTTCTCGAGGAAACTACGGATGGAGAGAACCTTGTCCTCAATGAAGTTCACAAGAGAGGGAGGCAGGTAGGCGGCCAGCTGGTAGACTAGATCACAGTTAATCTCCAAATTTGGACCTCTATACCCAAAACACATACCAAGATTAGCTTCACATCCATCCTCTTCATTCTCCCATTGCTCCCAGTTGACGCCAGACTTGTCGTCATCAGGCTTGGCAATCTCATCCAGATCACGGTCACGAGCAGCGTTCTCCAGGCCTTCAGAGGTACCTCTAGCAGCATATTCCTCCCAGCTGCGCACAGCGCGCTTGACACCCTCGTCGTTAAAGTTGGGATTGTATTCGACTTTGAACTTGGAGAGGATTTCCTCAAGTTCCTTGACACGAGAGCGAGTCTCATCCCTCTCCTTACGGACCTCAGCCAACGTGGTTCTGAGTTCCTCAACTCGGCCCTTGGCAACCTGGGCAAGCACATTGACCTTGCCCGCCTTCTTACCTGTTACCACCTTGCTCCGCTCTTGCTTCTCGATCTCCTCCAGATCAGCCTCCAAATCCTTGAGCTTGATTTCCTGGCCCTGGATCTGAACCTCCAGTCCGTTAATGCTCTCCTCAACCTCCTTCTGCTGCCTTCCCGCGTCAGTAAGGAGTTCCTTTTTCTTCTTCAACGCAGTCGTCATCGACTTTTGTCTCTTCTCCTCCTTCTTGCGCCACTCCTTTCCAATCTCCTTGCACTTGTCCTCGCACTTGGTGCCTCCGACACGGGCCCACTCGTCACTTCCATCACAGCATAGATCATAGTCACAGATCCCATCATTGACCCGCTGGAAGGGTACATAGGAAGGCTTGTGGCCCTTATTCTTGCAGTAGAACCCGGGCAGAGATAGTGTCAGGTCGAGGTCGTTATTCCCAGGACGGTCAGCGACCGTCAACGGCGAATTGTTGGATAGATGGGCACAAGCCGAAGTGCCGGGCTCATCACTACCATCCGGACAATCACAATAGTCGTCATTGACGGCGGAAAAGGGGACCTTAATAGCCGGGTGCGAGATGCAGGTGAACGTGTCGGTGTCCTTGTAGAACTTCGCGACTAGTCAAACAACAACACTGCCATGTTAGCCCCGTCTGCACCAGTATAACCCAGCAAAACACAGCAAAAGTCACAACAATCAACCCCAGACCAGGCGCCACCAAGGCCCAAACAACATTGCCAATCCAAACAACACTTCCACACACACAAGTAAACAAGAGAAGAACATCCACTCACATTCGGGCCCAACACCCCGAGGACGTGCGGAGCCGTCGTTACTCGCCGCAACAACGGCGGTCGAGCATGCTGCCAAGCTCACGAAGAACAGCGATCCCTGAGGCAGTATCATGATGGGAGCATTGAGCTTCTTCTCGCGCCAATGCGGGTGTACCGAACAAACGTCGTATACAAATGCGGAGAGAGCTTCTGGCCACCTTTAGCTCGTATGCAATTCTAGACTAAACTAAATCTGGGGGGGCCGGACCCTCTCTTAGTCAGCCGCCGTTATCAAGGCGGCGAAATTGCCGATAACTAGAAGTTCGCTTTACTTTACTCGCGGCCACATTTCAAGATTTTTAATATTTATTTCTATACTAAACCCGTGAAGAAAGATGGGTAATGACGGTGGAAGGTGAGTATACCGTCCCGTTTATCTAAGCATATGCAGGAGGGAAATCTAACGGTTTGATCACAGTATCCCCACCCGCCGCGAGCTCGTCCGCGAAGCCGCGCGCGCCCCCAGCACAGCTCAAGTCAAGGAAGCCCAGCGAGAACTCCAAGAGCACTACTGGACGACATGTCCGCTGTCACACAAGCCATTAATGCGTCCGATAGTGGCTGACTGCGTCGGGAACATGTATAACAAAGACGCGATTCTCAAATTCCTCCTTCCCGGCGAAGAGACCGAAGGAATCAGTTCAAAGGCCGATTGCGAAGAGGTCCTCTGCGGACGGGTGAAGGGACTCCGGGACGTAGTCGAGCTGAAATTCGAGATTGACACCGAACAAAGCCAACCGCCCTCGACTAAGCTCGACAAGCAAGAGGGTTGGATCTGCCCGGTCACTGCTAAGCAGCTCGGGCCAAATGTCAAGGCCGTCTATCTTGTGCCCTGCGGGCATGTGTTCTCTGAGGAGGCGGTGCGCCAGCTGAAGGGCGATAAGTGTCTGCAGTGCAATGAGTCGTACACAGAGGAGAGTGTCATTCCTATTTTACCGACGAAAAGTGAGGATAAGCAGCAGCTGGTGGCGCGGGCGCAGAAATTGGCTGAGCAAGGGTTGACACATTCGCTGAAGAAGGCACCTGGGTCGAAGAAGCGCAAGAAGCAGGCTAATGGGGATTCTGCTGAGACGGAAGGTGCGAGTCGCAGCAATACGTCTACTCCAAAGCCTCGTGCGTCGGATGGCATTAAGCATGCGGCGACGGCGATGCTAACTGCCCGGGTCCTGGAGGAGGAGAATGAAAAGAAGAAGCGGCGGAAGATGATGGGTCTGAATGAGAATCTGGATAGTCTGTTTACGAAGGACTCCAAAGACGGCAAAATGAATAACACCGATTTTATGACCAGGGGCTTTACTCTTCCTGCCGGCTCGAGGAAGTGATTGGTTTTAGCGCAATTGTCTCAACGGCGTACGGATTTGCTTGGGCTGCTTATATCGGCTACTGGACCGGTTAATGTTGATATTTCTTACATTTTTAGGATAGATGAGAATTGTACATGTATCGTTACATTGGTAACATAAGATAAACTAGGGTTTTCATTTCTATAGTACAAAATATCCTGCAATTAACATGCTACAAGAACGGTGACTAAACAATGGGCTCATGTCGTTCAGCAACCTACTCAATAAGCCCTCTGGAACGAAGCTCAGCCTCGATGACCTTCTTCCGGCCCAACTCCTCGTCCCTGTCCATTGGCTTCTGCTTCTTGGCAAAGACCTTGACGTTGGGCAGGTTGTGGAGACCTTGGCTGTTGGCCAGGTAATCTGCCAGCTTCTTAGGCTTGGGGTTAAGAGCCGAGTGGACGTACTCAACTACCTGTCCGACGTTGGCAACCGAGTGAACGACAGGATCCGGGAGGTAGTGGCCGCTCAGCTGGGAGAACCGCTTCAGGAACTATAGCATGGCTGAGTTAACGACCGCGCAACGCAACTAATTAGAATAGACGGAGGCACTTACAGCGAACTTCGTAGCAGGGTCGTCCAATGGGAGAGACAGGAAACCCTTGTCCCGAACATCAGCGTATCCGAAGAAGGGAACATTCGAGTCATTCGCCTCCAGCACGAGGTCTTCCCACTTTGACTCTTCAACGGCCTCCTCGACCTCCGCGGTCTCCTCTGCAACGGCAGGCTCAGGCTGACCGCCGATCTGTTCGAAGATATAAACGAGTGCTTTTTCGGCTTCCTTACTAGGATAGACCACGGCCTGGCCCCACTGGCCGGGCTGGATCTTGCACTTCCAGAGCATCTTGAAAACCGATTTATCGTGCTCGACGACATCGCAGACCTTTGACAAAGGCTTGTTCAATGTGTGCATCAGGCAAACTTCGACTGCTGCTTGGTGGGCGGCTAGGGACAGATGACCCTTCTTGGTGACTTTCTTTTTGAGCATAAACCTATATGTCAGTTAGTCAGAATCTGTCTCTATTCCGTCCCATTGACCGGCATAAACAGCTTGACTCAGGCATGACCCCGGAGTCCGCGAAATGACAGAGAAACGTACGATTCATATCCGTCGGCCCCAGAAGGAGGTAAGTCGGACCACCTGCCCAAGTGGCCCACACGTGGAAGTCCCTCCCATGTGGTTGCAGGCTCATATGCCTCAGCGGCAGCGAGCTCCGCTTCATTCTCGACCTGAGTTTGTTCTGAGGCCTGGGCGAGATTCTCCGGCTCCTCCTCCTGTCTGGCCGGCTGGTCTTTCCTAAATTTCCGTTCCAGAACTCCTTCTCCACCGTAGGGATCCTTCAGACCGGGCGGGTTGTCTGTACCCCAGATCTTGCGGCGCACTCGTTCGGTGATCGGGGTTGCGTTGGACGCATTGCGCAGGAATTGCCGGGCGACTAATGGGCGTGGGCGTGCTTCTTGTCTGCAAACTGAGCAGACGTAGAGGGTCCGAGAGCCCTGGAGGGACGATACCTCCAGGTTTAACAACCGCAATGAGGGACGCATGGCTGCGGTGTGACACGAATTGCGGACTTCAGCCAACTTTCGAAAAGTTTCAGGATTCCCGTTCGGAGGTTCTTCCAAGCACTCGGTCACGTGAATCGTAGTCCGGGGCTTGGCATTTCATGGCTGGCATTCTAATTTAGAAAATATTACACAAAAATGGAGATGTAAAAGTATAGATAGTATGGAATACGTAGGGTCTGGGTGAAGGTATTTTTTACATAAGCTTTTGAAATTCTCAATTTATATGTACATGCATATACGCTCGCTCATAGGATATTAAAGTCGGCCATTAATCTTTACAAGTCTACTCCCGAACAAACATACCAGCCATTCCCATACCCGTTCCAATGCACATGCTGACAACACCGACTTCCTGGCCGGTACGCTCCAGCTCGGGCAGGAGAGTGGCGAGCTGTCTAGCTCCAGTCGCACCGAGCGGGTGGCCGATGGCAATAGCACCACCCTTAGGGTTGACCTTTGCCTCGTCAATACCCAACTTACGAATAGAGTAGAGCGCCTGGGAGGCAAAGGCCTCGTTGATCTCCCAGATGTTGACATCCGAAACGCTCATGTCGAGCTGCTGAAGGAGCTTGGGAATGGCAACAGCAGGTCCAACGCCCATCTCATCGGGAGCACAACCAGCAACGGCGGTGCCGACCCAGCGGCCCTTGATGGAGGAGGTCAGTCCGAGTTCGGTCGCGGTGGAACGGCGCATGAGCAGTGCAGCGGCAGCACCGTCGCTGACCTGCGAGCTGTTTCCGGCGGTGCTGGCGCCAGTCGGAGAAAAGGCTGGCTTCAGACTGGCCATCTTCTCGACGGAGATGTTGGGGCGGACCCCGTCATCCTTGGTGACGGTAACCTCCTTCGGGGGCGCATCGGGGTTTTCAGGGTCAAAGGAGAGGGTCTTCACAGGCACGATTTCAGAGTCGAACAGACCAGCGTTCTGCGCAGCAGTAGCCTTCTTGTGCGACGCAGCGGCGAATACATCCTGATCCTCCCTTGAGATGCCGTAACGAGAAGCAACGTTCTCGGAGGTGATACCCATCGGCATAATGCAATCCCGAGAGTCCTTCGACGGCGACTCCTTAAGCTCGGGCCAGAGCACGGTGGGGATAGCGCGAGATCCGTAATTCCGGGTCATAGACTCCATTCCGCCACCGACACCAATGTTGAGGGCGCCTGCCCGGATTCCGTTGCCGATCGCGGAAATAGCGGCGAGACCGGACGAACATTGTCTGTTGATTGTATGGAATGGAACGGTGTGAGGGAAGCCAGCGTGGATCTGAGCCATACGGCCAGCCTTCGCACCGCCGAGCTCTTGGAGAACGGAGCCGATTGCGACTTCCTCGATCAGGGCTGGGTCGAGTTTTGGGTTCGCTTCGAGGGTAGCCTTAAGAACATTGGCGAGGAGCTCTTCGGGGTACGCATCTTTGAAGCCGCCTTTCTTCGCGCGAGTCACAGGGGTACGCAGTGAGGAAAGGATCACAATGTCATTGGGGGACTTCTGGAGGACCTGGCGGAGGCCCCGGGGAATTGGAGATGCCATCTTGATAGACTGTAGTAGATGTCAACGCGCACAAAAGGCTGGATTCCGGGGAAAGAAGAGATAGCAGAACATTTATCTTAAGAAGGATCGGTTGCCGGACAAAATTCCGGGAGCGGGCCCTCTGAAAGTGGACATGGCCCTTGAGAGCTTGCCATCCAAACTGCCGGCAATGAAGATCGGGTAAGGCTTCTGCCGCCGAGGTTGGGGAAACAAAGTGTGGAGATCCGATCTTATCATTTGGAGTCGGCCACCACCTTAATGCTACGAGGAGTAATTGGAATCTCCCTCGTAGCACGGCCACTGTCGACGCTGTCTGGTCACTCGCTAGTCCTTAGTATCTTCGTGAGCAGCAAAGTGCTCACGAACTTGGCCAAAACCTGATGACACACACGGAGTCTCGGTAGTTGATCGAGAGAATGCTCTCGATTCCGGACGTCGGATAGAGTCGCTTATGTCAGCTGCATCGGAACGATTTGTCGGAAGATGGGTATTCCACTAGACTACGTTGGCCTCTGATTTACTCAGAACTCCGCGCACACCCGGACTTCATGCTTTTCTCCATTTGAAATAAACCTTCGCTATACACAGGGCCCATTGCCACCTTAATAGTGATTTGGACAAAAGTCAACCCCACCTTCCTCAACGCCTTGAAAACGACATCATGTATAACGGATCTCATTACCCACTCGATAACTCCTTTCCAATCCTGGTATCAACAAAGGTAATAATGTACAGGTGATATTGGTCATGACAATTGCGGTGAATAGTAGAGCCATATCAGGCACGGATGATATGACTATAGTGGCCGGGCACCTTGCACCGGCACTTTTCACAGTCGGCTCGAAACCCCATTGAGATGGTGATTTTCTTCTTGTTTGACACACTCTTTGGCTTGGATTCCGATAGCGTATCTTTCGCACTTTCCATTAACGAGGGTATGGCCTCTTGCATGTTGGGCGAGCTCCGCTCCGTCCCTATCCATGTGGAGGGAGAGAATGAGGCAGGGCGAGACGGGTTGTAGGCCATATCCACGTCACTCGCAGTGTCTTTGATGCTGGCCATCGCATCTTCACCGTCACTGATTGGACTGGGGAGGCGCTGAATATCAAAGCAAGGTGGGGTTGCGCCGTGAGAACGTGTAGACAACGTAGAATCATGATCGCTCGTCGTTGGGGGGAAATATCCATACGTGGACGTTGCCGCATGCCGCTCACTGATGGTCAGATACTGATTAACTAGGCTGTGGGGGATTGGCGATGGTTGAATATCCTCATTGCCGCGTGCACTGGGTGGCCATGGGTACTGGGCGCGATCACCGCTCGGCGGCAGCATGTCTCTATCGTGATCTATATCCATTGCTGTATTGGAAGCGTGACAATGGGCTGCCTGGTGGGGCAGCTCCCCCTTACTATGAGTCAAGCTGGCACGCACGTGCTTTCTATGTCGGTCATTACCATCGTCATCATCCGAGGATTCCACAGGTGTCAATGTAGATAAACCGAACTCCGCAATAGCTTGGTTCGCTTCTGTAAAGGTGGGCTTCTGAGAGCAGTGTGAGGATGTGCGGAGAGCTAAAGAACGGTGTTTCTATATGCCCAACTGTCAGCAGCAGGGCCATGGAAGCGAGAGAACAAGGGTTGCCGGGTAAACAAACCTTTCTCTCGGGGATAGCGCTACTTTCAAAATCGGCAAGCTCCTCATGGCCCCTTGGACGTTTGGACGAGATACCGAACATATCCCTTTAGCAGTCCAGTTCCGTGGTAGGTGAGAGAAGGTGAAGGTATTGACCGCGGTGAATGCAAGACCATTCAGCTCCGAGGGCCGAAGACAAAAGGTGATAGCTACCCCAAAGAGACTCTAACGAAGAGAGTCTCCAAAAGCAACGGCGGTATTGTTCAAAAAAGAGAGGTTACTGTATCATACCCAATAACTCACTAAGTGGCAGGGTAAATCACCCGCGGGAAAGATAGATACTAGGAAGTGGAGGGTGAGAACGGATGCAGTCTGGCGATATCTCAGTTACACCTGCATCGGACCCGACCGTTTAGCGTTGGACGGGTAGCCCCCAATTAGGGAAAGCGGCCCACCCCATATTTTAGTCGCCTTGATTATCCTCAGTTAATGACCACGTCCTAGTGGGGGGAACAACATGTGGAGTGCTTGAGTATCACCTTCATTGTTATTTGCTGTAAACATTGGTTTGCATTTTCTCTTCCTCCTGGTGGAACTTGTGAGATATGATTCCGCAATCCCAGGGCAATCATTCTACAGACAATGCAAGGGGCTGCTGGCTTTTTCTTTACTCCGACTTACTTTTGAAGACAATACTAGTACATATATATCCAACGTGCATGCACGATTCAATGATACCAATGGGGACGCTTACCCAACGGGGTTACCGGGAAGTCAGGCATCCAATAAGTACGGGTGGCTGAACCAGCTTGTTAATCCTGGGGTTTTGATTAGTCTCGAACCTCGTATACTAGTAGTATGTGTACAGGGCTGCAATGAACGTAGATTGTTCATTCTGCGGTGTACCCCCCGAAGTAGTCTTTGGTATGTACTATGAGTGAAACTTGGGCTAGTATAAAGGAATCCAGCGGTGTAGAAGTATTATCTTCCGCTATGACCAGCGTACTTTGCATAGGTGTGCAATACATTTAGTCGGTGCCATTTTATTAGAGATATATTTATGTATATGTACCGAATCGCTTAGCGAGCTGACGTTCGGGGAAACTACTAGTAGATTAGTTCCGATGAGCAAGGCTAGGAGAATGACTCCCACCTGTAACACCAACCATGTCAGATAGAAAGGGATCTGTGTTGTTCTAAGCGATTGGTCAAGTGGTACTTCGCTTGGGGAACGTATCTGGCCCTAGCTGAGTGTAGGTAGACGCATCATAAACTGTGGATGTCATTCGGAAGTGACGGAGGGTTGGGCCAATTGCGGGCATTGAAGAGAAGAACTTGGGTATACGGAGTATTGTATACTAGTAGTATCTACTCTACTAGCACTAGTACCCGAGAGGCCAAAAGGATATCCATGGACATTCGTCGTGAGATGTAAGTATATCTGACTGTATTGGCGCACTCTGGTACAAAACCGTATATACAACCTATTTCAGGCATACTACTCGGGCTACTAGTACCTAGTTGGCAGGTCCCAGTGGTTCTGGCAGACCAAAAAACGGGTGTGGGCGTATTTGGTATTTATCAGACCGACCGGACTGGCCGGTATTGCAAGGCTGTGAGTGGTCAACCTAAAAATTTTCCGTGTGTGAATCATTCGCGGCCCCACTCGGTACGCAATTTTACTATTCAAGGCGATCGATCACCATACGTTGTCGATTTTGATCGCAACTTCTGCATGCAATTGACCTTCTCACTATCACTCGTCTCCGGAGTACTCTGAACTACTATAAAGGATCTGCCAATCCTACTCATTCCTTAGTCGGTTGTTGCCTTTCTCCTATCCTGTCAACTGCTACCGTACTCCAACTTTCCTCCCCCCCCTCTTCTATTCTTCAGATTTCCTCCCCGCTACATACACAATGCCCCTCGTTAACACAGCGGAGTTCAATGAGGACACTCGTGGTAAGTAATCACTCCTCGAAGTTCGCCTCCTCTCGAATGGTATGATTCTTATCTCGACCAGTCCTTGGATACGATCCTTTACTGTCCCCTCAGTACCTTCAGTCCGAGATCCCAGCTGTGAGTCACCCCACTTCCCTGCCGAGGCACACACACACACACACACACGCACACACACACACCTTCTACTAGGGCAGAAGACATTTCTTGCCCGGGGAAGGTCGATGGCACGATTGAGAGATTTTTCAGGCTAATAACAATGCGTCCAAATGTAGCCTGCAGAAGCCACTGCCACCGTCCGCTCGGGCCGTAACCAAGCTGTTGAGATTATTGAGCAGCGCGATGACCGTCTGCTGGTGATGGTCGGCCCCTGCTCCATCCATGACCCTGCCACTGCTCTGGAATATGCCACCCGTCTCAAGGAGCTCGCCACAAAGCTCTCCTCCGACCTTTGTATCATCATGCGCGCCTACCTGGAGAAGCCCCGCACCACAGTCGGATGGAAGGGTCTGATTAACGACCCGGATATTGACGAATCCTACAACATCAACAAGGGTCTGCGTATCTCACGTAAGCTCTACGCCGATCTGACCAGCATGGGCATTCCTATTGCCAGTGAGATGCTTGATACCATTTCTCCCCAGTACCTTGCGGATCTCATCTCACTCGGTGCCATCGGTGCCCGTACGACCGAGTCCCAATTGCACCGTGAGCTGGCCTCCGGTCTGAGTTTCCCCATTGGCTACAAGAACGGTACTGATGGCAACCTTACTGTTGCCATTGACGCTATTGGTGCTGCCGCTCACCCACACCGTTTCCTCGGTGTCACCAAGCAGGGTCTCGCGGCCATCACCAAGACCTCGGGTAACGAGCACGGTTTCGTGATCATGCGTGGAGGCAGCAAGGGTACCAACTACGATCGGGAGAGCATCCGCCAGGCTCGCGAAGCCCTGCGCGGCAAGAAGCAGCGTGAGGTGCTCATGGTCGACTGCTCCCACGGTAACTCCAACAAGAACCACCGCAACCAGCCTGTGGTGGCCAAGGAAGTCGCCGACCAGATGCGTGAGGGCCAGGACGCTATTGTCGGTGTCATGATCGAGTCCAACATCCATGAAGGCAACCAGAAGGTCCCCGCCGAGGGCCCGAAGGGCCTCAAGAAGGGTGTCAGCATCACGGATGCCTGCATTGACTGGGAGACCACCGTCACCGTGTTGGAGGATCTCGCCGATGCCGTCCGCGTTAGACGTGCCGCAAAGGCATCCAGCGCTTAAATAAAATGAGTTGAGTAGTGTTGGTCAAAGAAGCATTGCATTTATTTGTCTTTGAGGACGGTTTCGTTTAAGATACCTGGGCTGTAGTGCTTTTTTTTTTCTCCTCTTTATCTTTCGGCTTGGGTGGGTTTCCGCATTTCGACGCTCTTCCTTGGATAGTCAATTCGATTGATCGGAATACAGGGAGAGATAATGGGTGTAAAAAGTTTTATCCAATTTTGTTATGTTGAATGAATCTTGATTTCGAGCGGCATCTGGAATCGTTCCTGTCCGAACAGAGACAATCATGTTGTGATCCAATCTTATTCACACTCGCACCTGTAGATTCGCACCCCATGCTCTAAGTTTTTTTTTTCATATCTTGGGCCGAAACCAATAACCAAGATAATGACGGAAAGTATATGTACACAATATGACGAGAGGACCCAGTATTACATCGGCTCAAAACACACCAAACAGACGCCAGAAGCCCAAATCGGTGGAATACAAGGAGAAGGGAAAAGAGACCAAATGCCATGCAACAGCAACACACAAAGGAAACGCGAAGGAGAAAAAGCCCAATCGGAACATCATCGAGAACGATCTCACCTCATCCGCCCATCATCAATACTTTACAAGCTCACCGCTCACATTCTTACCGTCCGGTAAGCCAACTCTTCCAGCTCTTCGACGTCTGCTTCGCCGCGGTCTCCGCATTCTCCGCCAGAGCATCCAACTGACCCGGTTGCTGCACAGCAGCAGCAGCAGCAGCAGCCTTCGCCTCCTCCGCAGCCTTCGCATTCAGCGCCTCCAGAACCCCTGGCTTGTTATTCTCCGTCGCACCTTCCACCTTCGCGGCAGCCTCCTCCGAACTCAACCCGTCAAACAAATACCGCTTGAACTTAGCCCAGGGCCGTTGCGCCTTCTCCTCCTGTTTCTTCTGTTCGTAGATCTCGCCGATCTTCTCGTTCTTGAGCAATTCCAGCTGTGCCGGTGTGGCGGTTCCGCTGGCATGCGCCGTCTTCGCATCCTGCAACGTCTTCAATTCCTTCTCGATCCACAGCGCCCGTTGACGACGGTTGTATAGCGTAAGAGACACCATCGAGTAGACCGTTAACGCTCCGCAGATACCTACACAGTGACCCATTAGCCACGTCTGTCTTACTCCACGCACAGCACCATGTGCCCTGCCCTGCCATAGCATGGCATCACTACGTAACAAAGGAACTAGAACGAGGGAAAGAAGACAAATACGAACCCGAAGCCGCAATAAGCGTATAAACCATTGTCTTATGCGCCTTGTTGGCGAACCGTCTTCCAAAATCGATCATGGTATCTACGCGCGAAGTCGACTGCGCCATCCGCGCCGCCCTAGCCTGGGCCCGCAACCGGTCGACCTTCTCCTTCGGCGTCTCCGGACGGCCACCGTTGCCGGATCCCTGCGACTGGGCGTTCGCCATGAACCCAGGGAGCTTGTAGGGGGCGGCACCGGGCTTGGAATGCGCGTAGGGGCCTGTGGCCGTGAAGCGGGTTGCGTCTGCGGCGGATCGAGACATGGCGTGATGTGTTTTGTTTTTTTTCCCCCCTTAGTCTTTTTTTGATTTTCTGGCGTATCGGCAGGAGGGGAGAGGGCGGAGGGGTGTATAGGGAAGTGGTTACGAATCGGGACACACCGAACTAGTTGAGTTGGAGCATTCAATCCGGAGTGATTGTTGGGTTGACTGCTGATGCGTGAGGATCTTCCGGGAAATTTTCATCCGTTGTTGGCCTGGCTGAAAGGAGTCTAGGCGGGAAGCGCGGGCGGCCAATCGGTGTGGAGTGATTGTACGGCGGGATCACTCGTTGCTAGTACGTAGTACTAGTACTAGTAGTTAGTATCTGACATCCTCCCATGCCTGTAACGACCGCCGTACCTTAGTTCCTGATCGATGATTGAACTAGGTTTGGTTTCCCCAGAGAGTGCAATACTCTTATACTGAGCTTAGCGAGAATCAAAGAGAGGAGAAAGGATGTCCGACAACACCCCCGATCTCTCTTCTGTCCTAGCAACCCTCTCAGCATTATCCAACCAATCCCAAGCTCAAGCTCAAGCTCAAGCTCACCTACAACAACAACACCAACCTCCATATATCTCTAACAAGAATCCTCAAAATGTCCCTGAAGACGACACAGACACCTACGAACCCTCTGAAACCATCATCCCCCTAACCCCATCCCCAAACATACCCCACCCCAAACCCCAACCCCATCCCCAGCATCAAAAACCCACCTTGCACCTCCCCGACACCTCCACAATCACAGCCTGGCCCCCTGCGTTAAAAAGTATCATGCGGACCCTCTCTACTAACGAGGATCTGCAGCGGAAGATCCGCTTCCTGATCCAGCGCCAGCATGATCATGAACGCCAGTGGTGGGCGGGGAGGGAGGCGCTGGTGCGAAAGCAGAAGGCCAGGGTGGAGAAGAAGAAGGAGTTGGATGCTGTTCTGTGAGTTTTATCTGTCTCTTATCTTTCTATTTTCCTATATATATATATTATCTATGCTGGGTGCTAATGGTTTTTGTAGACGGTCTGTGGGCGCGCCGGTTGATGAGAAGGAGATTTCGGTAGGTTTAGTTTATCTTTCCTTTTCTTTTTCTGTCGGAGATGGAGAGGCGTTGTTTGATATGCTTTAACTTTACACTGCAGAAGGACTAAACGAGTACAGACAGTCGAAGAAGACCGCGCGGAGTTGACCAACTACGATGGGAAGGTCTACAAGGCGTCGAAGCAGATGGCCGATGCCATGACCGGAGAGCTTCGGGCATTGCAGATCCCCTTTTTCAGTATTAAGCCGAGCCTGGTCTTCGACTCGGTCGGGTCGACTCACCTTCCTGGCATCGGGAGGGATGAACTCGCAGCGCTCCGACGGAGGATGTTGGAGTTGTTGCAGGACTTTTGTAAGGAGTGATTGGCATGTCCCCAACTGTGGGAGAAAGAGGAATACGTCATGCGCTGGATTTATGATTATGGATATGATTATGTACACCAATTGTCTCTATCCTCGCCCCCCCCCCCCCACCGGCGGCCAAACCGTCTATTCTGTTCGCCTAAGGATCATGCTCAGCTCCTGGACCTTTCAGGTCATACATATATGCAAGTAGCGAATCCCATGAGCACACAATGCGTCGACCACGCCGTGTTACAAGCCACAACAAAACAAAGCCAGATGCCCGAACCCCGAAGCCAACCCAAACGCGCAGAAACGAGGTGGAATAAATATGAGACCATAACTCCGGATAATGCAATATGAACGCCGTGTGAGGCCCGACAGACGACCAGCAACACACATATAACGACAAATGGAGGACTGTGGTATCTAAATTCCCAGTAAGGGGATTGGAAAAGCGATTATATCTCCCCAGCAATTCACGTCGATGCCTTCTCGGCCACAGCGACCGCAACTGCAACCGCAGCACCGAGAATCCCACTCTCAGAGGCGGGGTCGAGGCGGACGGAGGGACTGGGGGTCGCTTCCAAAGTGCCCTTCGAAGCATTCGTCTCCTGTAACAGCTGATTGATGTAACCCTGACAGCGATCCCGGAAGCCAGGATACTTGTTGATGACACTACCATCGCATGCAATGGTCATACTCTGGGGATGTTCACTCTCAACCACAGTCACCTCTTGCGTCTCCTTGATCGACGATGTTGCCGAGGCGGTCACTTCGGGGAACTCGGCTTCATTGCGCAAACACCACATGCTATGGATGGCCGTTGCCAGGTATCCCGCGGAGCGGTTCGAAACAATCTCACAGATACGGCGTAAGAACTTGAGGTCCTCCACGCATGGGGCACGGTGGAATGTGTGCTCCTTCTGGAGGAGAGCCGCCGATGACGAGAACGATGCGGACGTATCGGCCTCAATGGCGGCGACGATGCTCGTGTCGAACGAATAGGCATCGCGCATCGAGCGAGGGAGTTCGCCGCCAAACAAGTGTGCGGTCTCCACGGCTTCCACGATGATCAGTCGAATAATTTCGCCCAGGTAGCGCCCTGTGATCATGTATTCCAATGGCTGATAGTCGGGTCGAAGATGTGTGCGGTTGATCACATCGTCCCATCGGCTCATAGGGAGAACCTTGCCACCGAACATGCTCAGCTCGCTATTGATGATGACGTGCTTGGCGTAGTCGAACCAGCCTGCGGGTCTGGTGCCAAACTTGGTCAATCCTATCGCATGCACCGGGAAATGAATCGCCATATTGGTTCCTGTTCCCAGAATCAGGGACATGCGGGTCTTGGGGTCCACGTAGGCACGAGAAAGAAGAGTAGCAGAGCTGTCGTTTACAATGGCGCCCATTTGGAGGTTCAAACTACGTTTGTGACACGACTTGACAATCAGATCTCCCAGCTCCTGTCCCACAGTACCATTCGAACACAGAAAACCCTTGCCCATTTGAATCACCAACCCACTATTAATGGACGTTTGCTCCACTGGGAATGACCATGACAAGCCCATGGACAATGGTGCCGATTCTCGACCGTACTGTGCGCCGACCTCGGAGAGCATCGAATCTATCTTCTCCGCCATCCAGTCAAAGAATAGGGTTCCCTCCAGAAGCTTCACCTGCTCGTCGATTGGGGACGAGTTGACCCGGAGAATGTCCATGTCGCCGTTTCCGCGCAGTTCAATCAAAGCTACACGGAAGGTGGAACCACCGACATCGAGGGCCAGGAAGGTACCCTTTTCCGTTCCCAATGGCAGCGCATGGTTGTATGATGGCAACATGCTTACCGGACTCGACTGTAGACAAATTCGGAGCTGTTCACGGATCTTTTCGGACATCATGGCCATGTTCTGCATGGTCAGTGGGGCTGCGAACACATGGTCGACTTCGTCAGCAAGGTCATCGAGAGTGCGACGGCGCCAAGCTGCCCTGTGGAAGGACTTCCTCTTGCCAGAGGAATCCCGGAAGAGTGAAGGAAACAATAGCATAGCTTCTAATGCGGCGACGACGTTGGAGAAGAGCTCCTGCATCCTGTGCAGGACCTTGGTCAGGGAGGTCGACATGGTCCGTTCAAGTAGGTCGTGCAGTGACCGCCTTGTCCAAGTGGTGAAGATGAATGGTGACAAGTGAATGGAGATACAATGAAGCGAGACGAGCGGGGCTTAAATATTGAAGTGAAGACCACGATGAAATGAGCTCATAGGTGTATGCATCTGCCGAAAGAAGGGGCCACTTTGTGAGAACGAGTGGTAATTATAGCGGAAGTTATGCAGTCTTGTACAGGCTCCAAGGAGAGTAGTAATTCACTGGCGATGGGTGAATGAGAGACCTCAACGATGGTGATGGAGCCGAGTTGCAATGTATGAGACGTGAGGTAACACCGGTGAGAAAATCAAAAAGCAACAATCCCTCGTCCAGCTGTAGTGGGGACCGTTTGGAAAGCCAGGAGGGGAGAGAGAGACCCAGTGAGAGGGGGGAATAAATAAATAAATAAAAATAATAATACTAATCAAAAAAAAAAGGTGCAAAAAAAGCTATTAGGTTTGGGAAATAATGAGAAAGGGTTGAAAATACTAGTGGTGCCAGACGAGACTGCACTTCAAAATCTCTCCACCGAACTAAGTCAATGGGGCAAAAGTAAGACACTGATGCCGTAGTTGCACGAAGCGTTCAGGTGGTGGTGGTGGTGCTTGTTTTTTGTTTCCTCTCCCGTTGTAGTAGTATCGTTAGAAAGTAGTAGTATTAAGTAGAGTGGTAATGGTCAACGGAGGGTGACGGGACCATAACCGTAGGCACTTCAAGCATGGATCAACGCGTGTCCATTCCTGGAAGGATCCAACAGAATGAATGGGTCAACTAAACCCTCCAAGGAATGATGGATGGAGAAAATCAAAGGAATTTCAAAACGCCGTGAAAACTCAGGACCAACAACGGCGGTGAATCCAGCGAAAAGAGAGAGAGACAGAGAGAGAAAGTCAACAACCCGACTACGGAGTACAAGAGGGGGAAACAGGGAGAGTGAGTATGGATTGATGATGGATGCAGAAAAGGAAAAGAGATGCGCCGGAGAGACAGACTGACTCCGTACCGATTGGGAGGTAATGTATGTATGTATGTATGTACGGACGGTAGGGGGTGATGTATTGCGGGTTCGGTATCGTCATGACCGTATGGGAGATTCCCACCCCAACCAAGATGACTGGGAAGTGGAGATCGAAGTTCGACTGCTACCCTGAAGGAACATCTCGACGCAATTCACGACGCATAGGGAAACCAACAAAGGGAAGCCTCCAATGCCATGGCTCCATGGCCCATCTGAGAAGCTCATCGAGGGGCACCTTTTTTCACCACCCGAGAAATGGGTCGAGGAACATTGCCGGGAATTCATGACATCAATCAACACCCAAGACGTCCTGTGATCCGCTACCAGGATATAAAAAACGTGATCGATCAATCGCATGAAAGATTGAGATAAATTACTTTCCTGATTCTTATCGCGGTCCTGTAACTCAGATAACAATCTGCGGGGGAATCAATCCTCCTACTATGTATCCTATCCTTCCGTTCGTCAGGATGATCCCCCCCCCCCCCCCCCCCCTTTTCCCAATTGTATACTTAAGCATAAACGGGTGTTGACAACTGCCGATTCCCTCATCTCGCAGACAAAACAATCAACCAGCCATCGAATGGGATCTTGGAACCACTCTACCCGCATGGGCCTACCACGTTGTGCCGCGACCAGAGTTACATTCAGGTTTCCAACCCCCATCATCTGGGTAGTGTAATAGATTTCCACCTCACCAATGTGTAACCGTACTGGTAAGAGACAGTACGTCGTTACGGCAATACCGGTTCGACCCTAATGTGCAATCCTTTCAGGCTGCATGGAATCGTCTGCTAGTTTAATTCGTGTCACTAGTAGGAGTACTTGTACTATAATTATCAGGGGACGAATTTGGGATGTCTCCATTCAGAAGATCTGTCAGTGACTCCCGTGCACTGACATTCCATAGCAATCACCTAAAATTCCCCTGGGTGGCTTGTTCCAGGGATTAAGCAACAGAATGATGACGACAAGATCAAAAATCGACAGGATAAAAAAGGGGGTAAACATGGAATAAGTCACGATTAGTGAATAAAATAAATAACAAGAAAAAAAAAATTTCAAATAAAATCTCCGCAGTGTTGCCAGTTGGGTTGGTGTGGTATGTGACACCCATTTTGAGTGCAACGGTGGTAGTCGGTCTAATGAGAGTGGCCGAGACTGTTACACTGGACTGGAGACGGAACGGAAACTCCCCTAAACACCCATCGCACATCTTCTTCAGCCATTGCATTATCATGACTAGTCCAGATTCATATATCGTGTCTATATATCTATATATATACTCGGTACTAGGAGGGGTAAGACTGTTTAATCATGAACTATATCAATCTATGAGTGACGTGATCACAGCTCGCTTGGGATCGTCGACTTTTGGCGAGAGTTTGTTGGTTGGTTCCACTCTGATACTTACTGTGTATAAGGTTACGCTGGTTCAGCTACGTACGAGGATGTTCATGTGTCCTTCGTCTGTCTGCAATAGATCGTAGTATCTCCCCCATAGTACTAGACATGTATGTATGCACACGGGACGAGGTGCCCTCTGGACATGCCTCGAGGACGAACGAGTCAGTCAGGAGGCACAACCTCATCGATAGTGGTTTATCGCCTGCATTCCAGAAGCCCTGCCAAGAAACTGGAGGCTGCAACACGCGTACACCTCTCGATCCCCCCCTAGTCCCAATGCCGTTAGCCGGCACGAGACTAGTATCAATGCTACGGTCAGTTCGGTACTCCCGCGTACGCCTCCTCGTCGCCCAATACTAGTCGCTCGGTACCTCGCCCAGCGATCCTAATCTATAGGTCGAAGCATTATATCCCCCCGTGGGATATTACACCAGTCAGCAAGGGGTTAACCAAATTATGAACTGATGTTTCAACATCCAAACTGGGAGAGCGACGGGGGATGCTCTGCGCTGCGCCCTATTAGGTAAACCGGAACCTCCCTCCAATTAGTTAACTAGGTCCTGGTCTTTCCGTTCTCGGATCGTTCAATGTGAGATCTCAGACCCAGTCCAGGGAAAACTTCGGTTGAATGCGGCAAAACAATGTTTGGTTCCCACGGCTCTCAATCATTGTCGCAACAATGCTCATTGTCCGGTTTGCTCGCATACCACCCAGCCATTGGTTATGTGAGCTCATGGGAGCAAAGTGGGTAGTAGGTACGGGACGAGTAGTCGGTGTCCCGAATTCTACGACATAGATTATATACAATGCTCCAAAAGGTTCATTCTCCCTCTCATTATTGTAATGGTTGGCAGGACACCACCACGTGTTTCAGAAAGTTTCCCAGGTGGCACTGTTCTTTGTTCGCTCGGAGGTCCAGACATCAGACACAACAGCCATGTCGCAAATGGTGGTCATGTCCCTACCGACCTGGTGCTGTTCAACTGTAACATGAACACCCAAGAAATGGGGCTGAGTAAGTCACACACACACACACACCATCGATGCATGACGCTGAGGTGACCCCATCGGAAAATTTAAACTAACTCTATGCATCGGCTACAGATTCTCTAGACCAATCGCATCATCGCGTCGGGGATGATGATTGTGCTTCAGACTAAAGCTGCCTTATCGACATGTCATCGATAGAGTGGGGATTGGGGGTCTGGGCTGGCGCCACTCTGCCTTCAGTGCAACTGTCCGTCGGTTCCTGAGAACTACTGATCGATGCTCTACCGATGTTGCAACCATGTAGGACACAACAGTATATCTATCTCCTATAAGTGCCTGGTTCATCATCCACACTCCGATTATCCTGTAGATCATTGATCAAACGTTGCCAGGCGGACGAGCATTCCGTTTGGATGTTTCACTTGTCGAAGGTAATGCATGATTCCCATGCAGTGGCTCTGACACGGTGTCAAAGTGGTCAACCTGCAATGCCACGAAATCATGGATGCAATGGCATGGCTCAATGGCACGGTCTGAGACCGTGGTATCGCTCTTGACGATGGGACTTATGCGTCAAACCAACAGGATGGACCTGATACCTGCTTGCGTCGGTATCTGGCTAACTTGGCCAATCCTCAGGCACCCGTCTTTCGCTGTCAAAATAGCGTGTGTGGCTGTCCTTCTCATCATGACATCATCGCCCCTGCTAATGTCATATTATGAGTCTACCGTAGAGATTTTTCATTGAAGCCAAACTTTCTTTCCGAGTCGTGAGAATACAAAACAAACCCTGAATCGCTCACTATGTCCGTTGAAGGAGTCCGAAACGAGATAGGTGAGTCTGTCACCGAAGGCTCATCGTTTACACCCAATACCGTGGCGGTTCCCACCAAGAAGGGGTATCTCGCCCCGGTTCATACACTTGATTCCCTAACTGGACCACCCCCTGTGTACCTTGGAGGTCCGAAGAATAGTAACGGATGAAACCGAAGTCTACGAAGAAGTGGCAATCGTCCAAAGGTGAGTGCAGAATGCAACCATTCAAGAATCATCGTAAACACCCGTCTTTGCAGGTTATCTTCAACGATGGCTATGGCTATCGCGTAGGACGTTGCCCGAACACATTGGAGAAGATAGAATGACGCAATACAACATAGAGACTGTCATGCTTATGAGATAAGAAATGTCGTTGTTATCAGCCGTCATGGTCACTATGATCTAGATTTAGTTAATTACCAGCATGTCTATCTGCTGTGAAAGAGTGCATCGTTTCACTAGAAAGAGTATTTATCAGGCTGAGATCGCGACACTGGAGTTACATAGATGTGTATTTTGGTTATCGAGATTCATATTACTCCGTCGAGATTGAGAAGTTCTAGCAAAATGGAACAATATTTGCAGCGATCGGAGGAAAGTAGCTTGGATGGAATATAAACACAGGGAGGAAATGATAAGAGGGGATTAAATTTAGAAGACGAACTAATTAGTTTACCAATAGAGATATTTGTTCGGTAAGCTTATACTTGGATTGATCCGCGGGAGATAATCTGGATTAGAGCAGGGGTCCAGGAAACTAAGTAAAATATATTAACCCGCCACTACATGTAAATCACTAACCACTGCACTGTCTTCTCTTCCCAACATCTGCTAACAATTTCTTATGCCTTGACTTTTCACTTCTGACCAATTAGCCCTGTACTCCGTATATTTTCTGTCCATACCTGTTCTGACTCCTTACAGGGATTCGTTCACCACTTCACTTTGATATGTTCACTCAATAAATCATGACAATCATGGACCTGCAACAAGATCAGCAGTGATATTAATACGGTGGTAATCTTGGAAAGCGAGCTATCAGCTCTATCAAAGTGATCGACGCATAAACGAGACCTATTCAAGCAGAAGACCGAACGTCTTGGAAATGAGTCGTAGTCAATATGGGATCCCCAGTTTTATTTTCAGAACACAACATCTCAACACCACTCAACGCCCCAGACCAGTTAAACTAAAGAAGAGAATACAACACTTGTCGCGCATCGTCAAAAGTCATAACCGTCGTCGCTCGTCCCAGATCAGACCACCCACATTAAGCATTTCTCTTCTCCCGAATCGACACCCTCCCCAGTATTCTCGGAACAGATCGTCTCCTCGCTTTGACGACCCAGATTGTAAAGAAAAGAAGCCCCAGAACCACCAAGGCTGTGACAAGATCAATCATCACCGCGCCAGACTGGAAATACTCTGCCAACAATCTTGATTTCCCGGTAGCAGAGGGACAATGTTGGTTAGGTGTGCATGATGGACTGTGTTGGTCTTTCCTGTGGGTCATTGATACCGTGCAAGGCGAAGCAGAACACTGGATGAGTTGACATACAGCAGGAGCTGTGGCTCCGAGACTTGCTTTATGGAGGAAGGATATCTGATAACATGATCATGACTCAACTCGGGGTCTGGGCCGTACTGCGGTGGTTCGCTAAGCTGGAAACTTGGATTGCGGTCGCGCATCCAGCGCTCGTAGTCGGTTTCGGGTCTTGGGAGCGCGGGCATCGTGGTTAAGGTTGAGCTTAGGACTATGAAATAAAATGGTATGGTTGTTGTGGATCGTGAAGATGGGTCGAGAGTTGTAGGTTTATTGACATGGTTATCGGTGTTGGTTGTGTAGATACTGGGAAGGGTCTTGATTTTAGCAGCGACATGTTTGTTCGTAGGCTGAGTGCGGACCGTTGGATGTCAGCTGGATACATTTAGCAGTATGTCAAACAGAACTAAGTTCTTCGATTTATTGGCCAGTAGAATATGCAATGGATAATATATCCATCTGCTTCTGCGGGGAAATTACATGTCAAGATGGTAGAGAAGGATGGGTTATACGTAGATTATCATTTCTACTTTGAACTGCTTTGCTTTGAGGAGTAGTACAGTGCTACCTCACCTATATAAGTGCTTGTTTAGTGGACGATTAATTAGAAAAAAGAGAAGAAGAAGCACCAATCATTCTGCAATCTGCGGCCCTAATTTTTCTATTGTAGAATGATTGGCCTACCGTTGAGCCAAATCAGGCGTCGACAGGCTAACTCGTTTGATCCATTCGTAGGACTTGCCATAGGTCAATGTCAACGCCGAGCTGACAGACAGCTTGAACTCTCGTATAAGCAGTAGGCAACAGAATTCCCATGGTTGATAATGTACCCCCGTCTCGATTACTGATGAATAACTCCGAATACTTTACGCAACTGTGTACGCAACACCGATTGTCAATATCAAATAGTTATCCTTGTGGCCAAATGACTAAAAAGAGCGCCATCAGCAACAGCAATCTTCCTAGCGCTTCCACCCCCTCGATTTCCCGGTCGACCATCAACCACTGCAGCTTTAACGACCTCACCCCCGCTGACACCATCCATCGAAGTGAGCTCGACTCAGTCAATGTGTTTCGCAAAACTTTCCCAGGCAGTAGCAGGGTAACACCTATATCGCCCGCCAACACCACCATTCGGCGTAGTAAGATCAGTCATACTGTGATCGCTAACTCGTACGTCCGCCGCTGCAAGCTTGCCAACTGCGAGCTTGTCAATGTGTGCTCCGCCAAGTCCCTGGATGCCAATGGCTCCAAATTCGACGATGTGCGCTCAATCCGCGGTCACACCTCAGTGCAAAATAGTACCGTTACAGGCCAGAGTACTTTGAACCGGAGCAAAGTCAACGGGTCATCCGTCACGGACGAGAGCTGTTTACGACGCAGTCATCTTGAGGATGTTCGGGTGGCTCGAAGTCGTGTGAAGAGATCAAAGCTCCAAAACTGCGACGTGCGTGATTGCGTGATTATCAAGACAGATTTCACTGGCATGACTTTACGCCATGGGGTCTGGAAGAATGGGAAATTAGTTGGAAGAGTTGGAGATAATGAGGTCGTAATGATGACCCAAGACGGCCAGGTGAGTTGCGCTATCACTTTGTAGAGGATCCTTGGTCTTCTCGGAGACGTGTACTGACTTAAGATAGAACATCGGTCATGTTTCTTCGGAGCAGCTTGTCACACAAGATGCCAAAGTATGGGCGGACGATGACCCCGACTCGGATAGCTCGGACAAGGAAAGCTTGGATTCATATGACCTTCCGCCACCTTATCAGCCTTGATTGCTGCCAGTATTTCAGTGATGTTTTATGTCTAACGATGTGTATTTGTCGTCTCTTCTTTTGATATCCTTGATTCCTTGTTGTAACTGCACCAAGTTTTGTGCCTGCATATTCCTTCAAAACACGTCACGCGTTGCCCCCGGTCTGTTTTGTTTGTACTTTATAAGAATGCTTCACGGCGAGGCTATAACCATGATACGAGCGGTCGACCGTCACTGCAGACATCGCTTCAGTGGACTCACGTATAAACCGAGCCTACCCGTAACTAGCTGCAGCGTTTCTTGGGGTTAACACTAGAGCGCTAGGGCCCGGTTTGTATTAAGCTAACTGATCTCATATCCACATGAATCGCTGTTGTTACTCGATAAGATTTGACTGAGCATGACATTGCATTACTTGGCAGTGCAGCTGAGACAAATCCATAAATCGACCCCCTTAATATATGATGTCGTCATCTGGGAATTAGTGTCGTACCCTAGGGTGGTTGAATAAAGCTCTCAAGGGCATGGCTATCAGTATAGGGCAGACAGTGAGCGAGGTAAAAACTGCAAAGCCTGTGGACCTGGAACTTGGCACTCCTTGGCCCTCTTTCTGGAAGTATTCTAACTGGTGGGCATAGAGAGGAAGGCCTCACGGCTGAGTGAGATCGAGACCGGACTTCCTCGGCTGCCTCACGCAAGCCAATAAGATATGCGAGAAAGCCAACGCCATTGACAGATGACCAACATCGGGGTGATATCCCGCACATCATCTGAGCCCTGAATATCGTTTCCAAGCTCGGTAAAGCGTTATAGACGGGTGCTCACCCGTCCAAGGATCTATTTTTGAACGCCATTTGGCTTCTTGAGACTTGCACAGCCGTGTCAGGGAGATTACACGTCTTCGCACATTAGCCCTACGATATCATCCACTCGGGTTCACTGGAATAATGTAGCTTATCATAATCAACTAGGCTGGAATGATGACCAGCGTGGTTTCGTATAAGAATCCCCCACAGCCAGGGCTGCCCGTATAGCCCATACTTAATCACGGCTAATCCTGTAAAAACAGTATGGGACAGCGAACACCTGTTCACCGGGCAGTCCAGGCCTGCATTTTAGGGTTGGCTCTACTGTCCCTTGCCGTTGCGTCTCCCTTCCTTCCAGAAGAATCTTCCACGGAGATCACCTCAAACGATGGACCCAGTTTCCTCGATGAGACACCACTGCTGGCTCCTCGCGATGAAAAGCCTTTTACCCTCCGCATTATGCCTCTAGGTGCGTCCATTACCTACGGATACCAGTCAACCGATGGCAATGGCTATCGACGATGGCTTCGTCAGCAACTTCGTCACGCGGGATGGTGGGTGAATATGGTCGGCAGTCGCCCAAATGACACCAGCACCATGAATGACAATGTAAGACATTCCTAGTAGCTTGGGGCCCAGCTATTAGATTAAGGATATTAACACTTATGATTTGATAGGAGGTGGAGGCCACGTCGGGCTTTAGAGTCGACCAGGTCACTGAAGCGGCCGAGAAAACCATCCCGCAGCAGCCAAACCTCATTTTGATAAAGTATGGATGTCTCTGGTTATGGTATTGGGATGTCAACTGACAATACATACACAGTGCTGGCACGAATGACGCAAATCAGTACAAAGACCCAGCAGTCGATGTGTACAAGACAGGCGAACGGATGGATGCTCTTCTGACACGTTTGTTCGACACAATTTCAGGCACTACCATCGTACTATCTACTCTGCTCCCCATGGTTGCCGCGGATGATGAGGTCGTGAAATTCTCCAAATACATTAGTGACCAGTATCGAGAGATTGTTGCCGCGCGCCGCCAACAAGGCCAACGCATTGTCCTTGCTGAGATGAGTGACTTCATCAAACCTGAGGACCTGGTCGATGGGACACACCCAACTGACTTTGGTTATAAGAAAATGGCCTCGGTTTGGTGGGAAGCTATTCAAGAAGCTGAGCGGGAAGGGCTGCTCCAGCCACCAAACCACACCGGGGTAAGTGACACTAAGAGAACGACTTGCAAGAAGGAATACGGAAGTGGGAATAGCAGAGGTCGGGTTCAAACCCAGCGTGGGAGTGGGGCCGATGACGGAAATTATGTCCATAGCTCCAAGGATATGGGGCGCATCTTCAGTCCGGCTACTACGAAGGAAGAGAAGGACTTCGATCCTGGCATCAACTACGCTCAATTGGTGAACAAGTTTGGCGCCCACCGGGAAGGTGCATTGGATGAGTTAGTTTGGACCAAGGATGGGGATGGTACGTATATGTTCATCAATAACAATGATGGGAAGTTTGGAAGTGCAGTGAAGATTGATGTCAAGGATGGATGTCTCGCTAGAGGTATGCATATTCATGACTACTGGTTGATAACCTGGCCGACGTGCTTACATCGCTTGCAGGTGTCCGATGGGGAGATGTGAATGGGGATGGCATTGACGATTTCATCTGCATCAGCAGGGAGGGACACATGTATGTCTCGATTAATGAAAATCAAAACAACGACATTCCCACCTTCCGAAGCATTGGACTAGTCAAGGATAAACCTGGCAATGGCCTGGGTCAGATCAACGTTCGGCTCGGCGACATCGACGGGGATGGAAGGATAGACTAGTAAGCTCGCACGTTGCTCATCACTCAGTCAGGCTAACTCGCATGCAGCTGCCTGATCCATAACAACGGTGATATTCGCTGCTGGCGCAATGGTGGCCAGAAGGATGCACCCACACAAGAGTACGGTGGATATTGGCAAGATCTCGGTATCGTATTCAAAGGTAAAGGAATGGGAGATATCACCGGGGTGCGTCTCGTTGATATCAACGGAGACTTCCGCAGTGATTGGCTATGGCTAGACGAAAAAGGCAAAGTAACAACCTATATCAACAATCGGGGCACGGGAAAGAATCTCGTTCCGGACTGGCGCGAGGCCGGTGTCACTCACGCTGGGATGGGCGTCGATGGCGCGAAAAATCGAATCAAGTTTGGAAGAGTGTATGCCGGAGGTGGAGCCGACTACACCTGGGTCGAGTCCGTGAAACAAACAAATGGCGACTGGAAACATTACGCCCATGTCTATAAGAACACTGGACACGGCGGCACCAAGCTGAAGGGTATAGTAATGAGAAAGTTGCTCTTTTGCGATTGCGCTCGCTAACCGCGTTCGGTGACAGGCGATGGTGTCTACTACTGTGACATACGTGGTACTGGTGCTGATGACTATGTGGGTAATATTCGGTGAAGGTATTCTTCGCGTGCTCATCAACTTTGTATAGGTTTGGATATCATCTGAAGGGCAGGGCTATCTTTACGGAAACATCCACGATCCACCTGTTTGGAAGCCAGAAGGAACTGAGATATTCAATATCAAAAAAGACCGGAAAAGTCTCCATTTGGCAGACTTCGATGGTGACGGAAAAGTAAGTGGTCTTCTTTACCCGGTTCATCGAATGGCCAGAGTGGCGATGTTTGTTCAACACATTCCGGCGGGCCCGTCTAACCCATGTTTTTACGCAGTGCGATCTGTGGGCTGTGAAACGAGACACAGGAGAAGCCGAGATTTGGCTAAATAAGTGGAGCGACAATGCTCAGGGCGACTATTTCCAGTATAAGGGAGTCCTTACTGGTAATGCGAGATGTACTCAGGGATGGGGTGTAGGCCCCTATGACTTGGGCCTTCGGTTTGCAGATCTAGAGTAAGTCCATACAACAAGGGATTTGAATAGATACTAATGATAATAGCGGAGACGGTCGGGCAGACTACCTCTGTATGGAGTGAGTACTCTTCCGTTATCAAGCCTCATACATGACGCCGGAACGCTAAGGGCCTTGCCTATAGTCCGGATGGCCGTACGGATGGCTGGTTGAATAAGGGAGAGAATAGTTTCGAATCAATCGGTCAAGCCAAGCGAAGTGAACACTACGACCGTGCAAGTGAGTCTTTTTCAGCGCATATAATCATGATTTCAACCGTTCTGACCTGATGCAGACCATCGTTGGGCGGACGTGAACGGTAAGTGGTCCTCAATCAAGTGACGGGATAGGGCTCATTCTCAATAGGGGATCGGATGGCCGATTTCCTCTGGATCGACAAATTCAACGGTGATACCAAGGTAACCAGTACAGATTGGCATATTGAATCTACAATAGCTGATTCACTCGTAGGTGTGGATCAACCAAGGCCCTGTTCCTACCTTGGACTCGCAGTGGAGATGGGAGCCCCAGGATGGTCCGCGGTATATGGGAGCCGACCGAGGAGTGAGTACTTTAGCCAACGTATGATTATCTATCCAGCGCTAATCCTGGAAGGCCAACATGCATTTCCCTAATCTTGGTGGGCTTGGGCGAGCGGATTTTCACCAAGTCATTCCCCGGACCAACGTTGTACGTTTCGACTCCATTATGAGAAAGGTGCATATGCATATTGACGCCTTTTTTTAGGCTTATACTTGGTTCAACGAATGTCCCAATGAGGCTTTGGATGATGCTGATAGCACCGAAGATCCTGGATTGCCTCAATACCCTGCACCACTACAACCCGCTTCTATAAATAATAACGGAGCTAATGACGCCATGTAACATCGCTGTGCCTATCTGGGCAGACAGAAAGCAGAACGAGATCCATCCGTATGTTTATTAATCCGTCTCTTTTGATTACTGAATCAATCTTGGCCTAGTGGGTAATGTCCATTGGCCATGCACATGATGCTGTCGCTGTTCCCTTCTAGTCGTCAACTGTACATATGACCTGTTAGCAAGATGGGAAGAACAATTCCCGCAAAGCGGAGCCCACTTAGTTCAAAGACTGCAGGCTGTGTCCCAAATATATTTCCTGAATGAGACACCCGTCCAAGGGCCTAAAGTACGATGCAGCAATTCATGACTGCTCTTCATCGGACGGAGGAACAAGAATGCCATCCAGAAGTCCCTGGTGGGCGCAGTATACCGCGACCAGCGAATCATAGCAGAAGTAAATAAACAGTACGAACGAACACACCCGCGGTATTGATCTCTCCGTCTCTGTCAGAATGCTTGGCATGCAGTGTCGCCTTCACTATGAGATACCGAATATGCTGAATGTTGCCCTTGCGGAAGTCCCCCGAGCTCACACCGAGAATGTTCATAACATTCCGAGCATATTACCGCATCGCTCGGTGGATGGTCCAGGTATGTATGTCTGTCTGGGGTTGGCATTTCCGATCGGCTTGGGGTTGAAGCTTTCGATCGCCTCAATTGACAATGCTACTCCGGAGTGGATCGCAACTGTGGAGAACTTCTGTCAGCTCATGGGTAAGGCCGATGGGCGGACCATGCTGTTGCCTCGGCCTCCCGCGTCAAATGCGAGAGAGGTAGGAATGCTATCTGGATGAGGCAGGAAAGGAACCTTGTCCAGCTTGACACTGGAATCCAGCCATCATGAAGTGAGCACCAGTTCCTTCATTCTCGTCGCGGTACCGGAGCCATGGCATTCCATGCTGAACGAACGTCGTAATACAAATCCAAGGCTGGACAACCCGGTTCCGGGTTAACCGGGTTCATGGCGAGAGCATCTCGGCCATAAATTTCCGGTATTGACAAGGTCCTCCACTATTAGTTGGGATTAACCTGCAAAGGGATGGGGGGGAGATTTCGCTCTAATTTTAGGGCAAGTCACATGCTCCCAGCAGAACGTTGCCATGCATAAATCCCCACCGGATACAACGGTACTCAACCACAGAGGTCAGTGCTCGCTGCTGGGCGTTCGGCCCCGGAGATAACAACGTATACTGTGTCTGTAAGGCAGACAAGTTACCCCGTGGCAAATCACGAAACCTGATTTATTCCATGAAGGTTTGCCCCAAGTGGATCTCCCCCCAAGTAGTGAGTGCGGAGTCGCGAGCGTTATGAATGTAGGCCATACACCCTCAACCAAGAGATCGATATAGCCAGGACGTAATGGAAACTACGGCCGATGCGACGTGGCACCGCATAGTTCTTTCGGCCACCTTCCAGTATGCATGGTGTTGACTACTACATAGCCGCAGATGCTGTATTGAGAATGCGGCTGGAGCAGTATAACATGTAAGCGAGCAGGCCACAGTGACACTAATGCATGAGGAAGAATTATTGCAAGTGGGAAGAGTAAGCAATTCCGCCACTAATCGGTTGAGTGGGGTGCCGCTAATTAATATCAAACTCACCTACAGCCCTACTAAAGTCTTGTCCAAACCTTAGCCGAAGCTTGGTTCCGGGGCTTTATGTCTTCATAGTCGGTACCTTCGGGGCATAACTCGCGACACATTTGTCTCTTGGGAGGAATTAGCTTGATTTTTTGCCTAATGCACTGGTGGGTGACGCTTCGTCAGTTTGTCAGGTAACGCCTTATGCAGATGGATTTCATTCTGGGCCAGACACAAATCGTAAAAGCCCTATTGGACGCCTTAGGGACTGGCCTCCTGGCAAGCCACTCAGATTTACCTCAATTAAGGCATACCCCTCATGAAGCAGCCAATATGTGGCCTCCTTTAGGAATTGGTATATCAGATGAATGCCTGCTGCAACCCCCCAGCCTTCCGGCTCACCCTCAGACTCGATCAAGGAGTACCTGGCATGAGGAGTAGGGCTATGATCTGACAGATCTTACTCGTTCGCGACCCCAGCATCCCCTCATGAGGGGTTTTCTCTGGCTATATTAGAAATGACGCCGCGGAATGAGGGGATCTTCATTTAACACCCTGCAGGTTTCGGTTATATAAAGCCAGGCAGAGCGTCCGTCTTACTCTTCCCATCCACAGCGCCTCTCAACTCTCGACCGACCATAACCTGGCTCTTCAATATGAAATCCTTCCTCTATTATACCGGCTGCTTCATTGCTGTCCTTGGTACCGTTCATGGTGCCCCCGCTAGGAACTCCATCCGGAACTCTGGGAACCCCCCATTGAGAGGATCCGAGGATCTTCTGGGGTACTCTTCTGACAATAAACTATCCGACCATTCCACGGAAGAAATCAAGTATACCCTCCTCCCTGCGCAGAAGGAGGATCCGAAGATAGGGTCATATCTGGACTTTGAGAAGGTCGATAACCCGCAGCCCATTCGCGGCGACCTTGGAGCGTCCGACCCTGGCCCTCGTAAGTCAAGTCACTTCCATGCTTGAATGTCACTTACACTAACCGGTCAGGCAACTACAACTACGACCGGATTAATAGCGATAAGCTAGCTCCCCCGGGGACAGATAATGGGCAGACAATCAATGCTCAATGGCCCATGGGTAAGTCGAGTACCGTTCTCATTTGCGAGCACTGCTAATAGTTAGTAGGCCTCAGTCGTAACAGGTATTCATGAGCACTAGCCATAACATGCAACGTAATCAGGCTCACTCAGGGACAGATATGGCTCTGGGAACTCGGGATGGGCTCGTCAAGAAAACACCGTCGTCATGCCCGACGCTACCAAGATGGCCGGTGTCGATATGCGCCTGGAAGCTGGGGCATATCGTGAATTGCACTGGCACGTGGCCGGCGAGTGGTCGTTGGTGCTTAACGGGTCGTGTCGCATTCAGGTATTTGCTCCCATGCAGGTAAATTATGGGAGCCTGCTAACTTGACTTGTGGTAGGCGGTTAACGAGAACGGCGAGACCTTCATCGACGACGTGACAGAAGGCGATGTGTGGTTCTTCCCTCCGTAAGTCCAATCAATCCTTGCCAGTCTTCTACATGGCGACTAAGAATCAGAACAGTGGTGTTCCCCATTCCATCCAAGCCCTAGACGCAGGGGTTGAGTTCCTCCTCGTCTTCGACGACGGCGATTTCTCTGAAGACAACACCTTCCTCGCATCCCAAGTCTTCAGCCACAACCCCGTACAACCACCCAAACCCCCAATAAGACAATTTCAACGCTAATCAAGAAAACTCAGAAATCCGTGCTAGCCAAAAACTTCGACCTCCCCATCTCCGCCTTCAACGACATCCCAGAGGAAGAGCTTTACATTTTCCCCGGTACAAAAGCCCCCAAAGACATCGAGGAACAAAACGTAACAACAGCCGCCGGCATCGTGCCTCTAAGCCAAAGCTACTCATACCATTTCTCCGAGCAACCAGCCCATGAAGTCGCCGGCGGTTCCGTCAAAATCGTCGACCCTGTCACCTTCCCCATCGCCACCAACTTCGCCGCCGCCATTGTGACTGTGAAACCCGGCGGCATGCGCGAGATCCATTGGCACCCCACCAGCGACGAGTGGACGTTCTTCATCAAGGGCAAGGCCCGCGCGACGTTGTTCACGGCGCCTACGACGGCGACCACGTTCGATTACCGTGCTGGCGATGTGGGCTATTTCCCGCAGTCGAACAGCCATTATATTGAGAATACGGGAGATGAGGATTTGATGTTTTTGGAAGTTTTGCAGACTGATAAGTTTACTGGTAATATTACCTTTTCTTGACTTTTCACGCATTGATACAACGACACTAACGTTGGTGCAGATGTTGCCCTCGGTCAATGGATCGGGTCCACTCCGAAGCAGATCGTGGCCGATACATTGAAGCTGCCGGAGAGTGCTCTGAGTAAACTGAAGACAGAGAAACAGTACGTGGTTGCCGGGTCGAATGTGACGGCTGTGGCAAAGAGATGATCTCCCAGGGAATAGCATTCTTCCAGAGCGACGGATTCGATTTGCTTATAGACATGATCACATCGAGGGAAGACTGACTGCGATGCCGCGCATGTCACAAGCTGTTCATACATATAACACATGTACATAGCATCGTTTAAGCACCTACCACATCTACCGCAAATAGATATCGGGTTACGCTTACTGCCATACAATTCTACAACCCTCTCTAGACTAACTCGCCAGCCTACGCATTCTGAAACACTTGGGGAAACATAAGAGGCAAGATCCCAAGGATAGCTTTCCCAACATCCTTCATCGCTTCAGCCTTGGCCATTAAGTGATTTAGGCTTATATTCACTGGCAATCATTTCTCTTGCTAAAGTCACTCAACGTGTCGATTCACCTCATATGCTACAAGATTCAATTGACTCGGCTCATACTGTGCATATCCTCTCTAGGTGATGCACGTCCATCCCTAGACTTCGCAGCTGGGACAGAATTGTGACCTCTCCAGGGGAGGCTGACATCCACCCAATGAAACATACCATGATACGTATACCGTGCAAGGCCGTATCGGGCAAGGCCGTATCGGGCAGATTATAGGACTTAAAACATGGTTAGTACTCCCCATGATCATGTAAAGGGGGGACTGTAAAACCAATCGTCTTGTATATCACCGGTTCCGTTGCGTACTGTCCATCTTCAATAGATACTACTATTATACAAGTGACTATGTATATCGTTGAGTACACTGCATCTATACATCCAGTAAACTCCAAGCCAACGAATCCCGAAAAAAGTGTAATATATAGTCATGCCTCATATCTCATGTCCACGGGGTGTTACTGCACACCCTTCGGCACCCGACACACGGCGCGGGCATCATCCGGCATCGTTGTCCAGAGGACCTGTCGTACCTCCTTTCCTACTTGCTCAATGACGTCCATGGCCCACAAGACGTCGAGATGCTCGTACTCCTCGATAACCTTCTCATGGACAACATGCACATGGGGCTCACGTCCATTGCGGAACCGCCGAAGCAATTTCCTGCCATCCACCAAATTGTCGGCCCCCGCAACCCATAGAGCCATCGGGGGAGCCTGGGATCCGTACCATGCGGTATTGCTACGCAAGGTCCCATCATCGATGCCTTTTTCAAAGCGATGATCCTCTTCCGTCTCAAGGAGGCCGACGTCACGAGTGGCCAAGATACACTTCTGTGTGGCGAAGCATTCACCGCCCAACCACCATCGCATTGTCTCGGCACTGACGTATACCGGAGCGAACTGAAACATACGGTCCCGTAGGCCGCGATCCCAACGGGTGTCACTCCAGCCGAAGAGATACGAGAACACGTAATAGCCCAGCGTACCGTATATCTTCGGATGAAGATACCGGTGGACCGTCATCATGAAGGGAATAAAAGCATGGATGCCGAACACGATGCGAAAGACATTCGGGGAGATGATCCGCATGAAGCGGAGGTAACTTCTCTTGATCAATGGCCCGGCATACGCAGCTGGAGCCAGAGCACAAAAGACTGATATACGCTCGCCTAGCTCGGGACGTTGGTCTTTCGCCAGTGCAACGAACGTTTGCGTCGTGCCTTGCGAATGACACACAAGACCTAGTTTCTCGAAGCCGGTCTCATACAGAACGCGCGATACAAGGGCGGAAAGGTCCAGTACGCCCATGTGCTGGATATTCCACGTCCACATCCGTGGATCCGACGTAGACAATGTCGTGTGTTCCGGAGTCAGTCCGCAGCGGTTATTACCCAGCCACACATCGTACCCCGACTTGCAAAGGTAAAAGGCAAGACTATCTTCGTCGTTGGCACAGTACGCGCCGGCACACTGCAGTAACCCGTGCATGAGAAGAATGGGATATTTGCGGTTCGACCGTGAAAAGAGCCCGGGGTCCTTCTTCCCTGTAAACACCCCAGGTCCACGAGGCGCCCTCGCATCGGCAGGCAAGGGCATGTACTCCTGTGGGTTATAAACATGCCACAGAGTGATTATGAATCCATCCTCTGTCTGTACCCGGAACGTCTCCACGTCCAGGCCGACCCTTCTGGCGTAATACGCCACATCGCATATGACCGGATCCTTCCCACCTTCCAGAGGCGGACACTCGTCGGGAGCTTCTTCGTCGACTTCCTTCTTCTCCTGTCGACGCCTCCACTTCTGCAAGTTTTTCTGCCTCTCCAACTCCCGTGCTCGCTCCTCCTCGTAGAACGCTCGTTGCTCATTGGGATCTCGGCCTTGGAGGCGGGCCTTGGCGTGGGAAACAGCGAGTCGGGTCCTGCACACAAGTGCCCCGACAAGTACGGCACCCAGAAACAGCAGCGATAGCAGAAACGACACGCATTGCAGCACCCGACACTTTATGGTAAACACGAAGGAAGGAGGGCCGTACGAAGGCAGTGGCGGGAATAGCGGGTGGTCCTGGGACGGAACGACGTAGTTCTTGGGCGGTTTCTGCGACATACTCTGCTTCTTATCGTAAGGGCGATCGGTCCCGGTGGAGTCGCTGGTCTTCGTCGCGTTCAGCTCTTGGAGCTCTAGTCCCGGTTGGCCATTGTTGTCTTCTATCGGGGAGATATCGGGGTTTACCCTGGTCACAGTAGCTGACATAGACATCCTTTCGAACGGTGCCGGACTGTCTGTCGGTTCGCAGGATAGGAGCGGCACTTTGTATACGGAGTCGGGGTCATGCTCCGAGGCCGAGCGGATCAACATGATCGTGGTTAGGAAGTAACGGTAGCGGGGGAAGAGAAAGGCCACTTCATCGTACCCCCCTGGCGACCGATGAACTGAGGGGGGGGGAAAGGACTCGGAGGATAAGGAGAGAGAAAGGAAGACGTTGATCATTCGCCAGTCGGTCCCATGTTGCCCTTCCTCATTGGGAAGGGCCTCAAAAAAGGGGATCGACACGTGAACGGGGGGATTCCCTACGTAAGCAGCGCTGCCTCAGGCGACCGCCAGGGTCCAGTTTTAGGGGACGGGCCGGTGGTAGACATCCACAGTTACTACTGGCTAGTATAGTCCAGCGAAGTCAGGGTCTGCCCTTGACATACTAGTGAGTCTCGTTTGTTTATTTATTTCCCCCCCTAAAAGACCATACACAGCGACTGTTGAGTTGTAGCCCCCTATAACCTACAATAGACAATTGAATGATGAGTTTCAAAAAAAGATAATCCTTGGTCACAAGAGCAGTGCTAGGAGAATAGTATACTATACAAGATATTCAAGTTGGTCGTGATCCAATCATCATACCACGTCTCTCATCACCAAGATAACGGTTTAAACAGCCACTCGCTAGGTATATAAAAGGCAGTAGAGGCACCATGGAAGGGAAGAAAGAAAAATAAAAAATAAAAAAAATAAACACCGAACCAAGACCGCAAAACCCTAATTCATAAACGCCGACGGATGCTCTAGGCCTTCTCAACATGCTCCAGGTCACGCTTCATCTGGGCGTCGACCTCCAGATCAGCGAGGTTGCCAGACAGTTTGCCGGCAGCCACGTCGCGGACGTCAGCGTAGCTAACCGATGGGACAAATTCCTTGGAGCGCCAGGCCACAGGAATCTTGGCGTAAAGCTCATCGACCTGCTCCAGACTCAGACCCTTGGTCTCGTAGATGCAGGTGTAGACGAAAACACCGGCAATGAAGCAGAATCCACCCCAGATGAAGAACACCTTGGACTGCAGGTTAGCGTTGCCCGGGCCAGAGTTGACCATGTAAGGGGTGGCGTATGCGATGGCCCAGTTGAGGAGCCAGTTGGTGGCGGTTGTGATCGAGAGACACTTGGCACGAGCCTTCAGAGGGAATAGCTCACCAGTCACCACCCACGCGGTGCAACCCCAGGAGCAAGCGAAGAAGAAGATGTAGACACAGACAAAGGCGATCAGCACCTTGTTTGCGACGTCGGAGGTGGTGACGGTGCCAACAATGGCCACGATGAACTGGGACACACACATGCCGACAGCACCGAACAGGAGAAGCGGACGACGACCCCACTTCTCGACCATGTAGAGACCGGGGAAGGTCGAGACCACGTTAACAATGTTGGTGATCAAAGTGATGATGAATCCGTCCTTGATACCGGAGTGTTCGAAGAAGGTCGTTCCGTAGTAGACTGGAAGCGGTTAGTGGGTATGCAACATGGTGGTGTGGGACGGTAGAATACATACAGATGAAGTTGACTCCAGCCAGCTGCTGCAGACCCTGCACAGCGCAGCCAGTCGCCAGGCGCTTGCCGATACTTCCACGAAAAATAGAGAGGTAGCTCGCATTGCCCACACTGAGTTCATATTCGTGGTTGGCTTGGATCTCAGCCAGCTCCTCCACAATGGCGGGATCGTTGACATCGATGCGGCGAAGGCGCGAGAGCGCCTTGGCAGCAGCTTCGTGCTTGTCCTTTTTGATCAAGAAACGAGGCGTCTCCGGGAGTAAGAGCATGCCAACAACCAGGATGATAGCCCAGGCAAACTGCACAGCGACAGGGATACGGTAGCTACCAGTATCGTTACGGCCCTTGGTGGAATTGTTCACGATGGCAGCGAGCAGCAATCCAATGGTGATGGCCAGCTGGTAGGCACCAACAATGGTACCACGGATCCACTTAGGGGCGGTCTCGGACTGGTACAGAGGAACTGCAGCCTGTTAGCACACGATACGTTGGCTTGCTAGGTGGGTTATAGTTCATGACATACTGGTGGCAGACAGCAATCCAACACCTAGGCCCGCAAAGAATCTTCCTGCAACGAATAATGGGATGGCAGTGGCAGCGGTCTGGAGGATGACACCAAAGCAGAAGACAAAGGTGTTGATGATCATCGCAAGCCGACGACCGAAGTAATCCGCAATGGGTGCCGCACCCAGCGCACCGAAGAAAGTCCCTGCAGACAGGAGAGACACGATCATGGAGGACTGCGAGGAGGTCACGTCGGGGTAGTTGTCTGACGGGTTAATATAGCCCGTGGAGAACAGCTTGCGCCAGTACGGCATGGCAAGAATGCCGCTGATGGTGCCGGTATCATAACTAGAGGACCCAATCGTCAGCCGCCGGGTCTTTGAAAGGCTTCGAAGATGGTATCGAGGGCCAGCTTACCCAAACAGCACACCACCAAAGGCAACAAACAGTCCAATAAGGATGGCCGGGGCAGCAGAGCCCGTAGCATCATCCGGCTTCTTCAACATGAAGCCCATGGTGACTGTCAACACGGACTGGAGGGTCAATCTAGGGGAAGATTCTTCAGTGGTAGATCAAGACGCAAGTAGAAGAATGTCGGGATGACCGGTGGAGAGAAAAATGAGATACACGAACTCCATGGGGAAGGGGGCCATGGCAGAGTTTTTGTACTGCTTCAGACAGGAGGTCGCCATAGCCAATCTTGACCATATCCGGTCAACATGGGGAAAAACTACATTAAGGAGCCGGCCGAAACCAGCGCTATCCCGCATTTACAGCCAATTGAGGGCACGGGATCAGCCTAGGATGTGCTGGCGTCGGCCGCATGAGGGATTAATTGGCACTCTCGGCCCTCGACCTGCGATCTGTGTCTCTCTCCGCGCCACAGCCCCCGAGTCTGGAGAAGAGGAACGTTTGACGGCGTGGAAAGTGGAGGGGGCTTGCATGAGGCTACTGGCCCATGAATACGCATGATTGGCTCCAGGCAAGTAAGCAACATGGCCGAGGCCCCAAGTCAACCACGGGCATCGAACGATTCTGGAACTTGGCACGCAGAGTGGAGGTCCCCAATACGATAGACAGGTTTTTCCTTCCCCATCTACGGGATCCTTTCGTCGCGCCGTGACGGCAATCCGAGCCACGGGACAGGAAATACAGTGGCAAGAGAGATAAAAATAAAGCGTTGAGAGGGAACGATGATTCATGGCGGAGGGATGCCGAGAACGGGAAAGAAGTTCTTATCAGATAGAAATGCAAAGAATTCGGGCGATGCCGAACGCGGCCAACCCGTGACCATCCCGAAGTCACCACTTTTCTCGTAATACGAATCTCAAAGTCACATCGGCATCCTGGTCACCTCCCGAATGGTCGTCGGATGGGTCTGTAACCAGATGCCCGTGTCTGGCAATGTAATCGGATCGTGTCGAAAAGGGAATCATGCACGACCCCATGGCACACGCCTTGCTCACCTGGAGACTCCACGACTTCCGTCCGGGGAAATGGATCTAGGCATGGAGGCAGAGAGCCCAGTTCACGACAATCCGGAGTCTCACCGGTGCCATTTCGGGCAGCGAGCGTCGTCTCGACGCACAATGACATTCTGTCGGGAGGGCGAGGGTGTGGATGTGACATGGTTGAAGCAAATTAGGGCTTTTGCCACTTCCAGCGCGGGCAGCACGAGTCGGGGCTCTGATTGGGGGGCCCTGGGAGATCGAGTCTCAGAATCCCCCGAAATTTGCCCGCTTCTCGTCGTATAGGTTGCATAATACATGGCTGCGATCAGCCCCCTAACCCTATCTAGCTGGACTAAACGCTTAGGCACCAAACTAAAATGCGGATTGACTTTGGTTGGCGAATATTGACTATCGGGCGGAACCATGGTTGCTCCTCGAAGGTAAAACGTCCCCTCTCTCACTCCCCACCACAGGAGAACCACTCTGTAAAGGACAAAGACAAAAAAAAAGTTTAAAAAAAAAAAAAACTAAAACGATTGTCAAGTATGGTTCAGGGAAACCTTTTCCAGTTGACGGTGAACTGTGCACAAAGGACTCGAGATTATATCTTTGGTGACAGGGGGGAAAAATGAGAGAAAAAACGAAGTCTACGTGCAATGATGAATAGAGACATAATCGATGCAGTTTGTATATGTATATACAGTATAGTGTAGAGACTCCGATGTACATCTTCGCCCCGGTCTTTACCATCGCCAGATCAAGAAGAAATACCATGCAAACACCATCGAAGCCACATACTTGACCGAGTCGACGAATTCCCCCCAGATTCCCCGGGAAGCGGGGACCCTCGGTTTCCACTTCGCCTTGTCCACGTCATCGTGATCTGGACCGGGGTAAGCATCGTCATACACTTTGGGGTAGCGAGGAGGTGCATTGACGGCACGACTGGCCAAGCCCCCCGGTGAGGGAAACGTGGAGCTAGACGTACTGGAACTGGGGGTCTTCGCGGTGTGGACGTGGAGGGGAGGGCGAACGTCAGAGAGAGGAAGAATGGATGCAGAGGAGTCCACTGCAGGGAAGTAGAGCACAAGAATGGCGGCTCGTGCGAGAAGAGCAGCAAGGGTCAGGCCGAAGAGAAGGCCGTAACGGATGAAGATGGATAATTGGTCGGGCAGGAGGCACAAGTGGTTTTGCAAAGTAGCGCCCGTGCTCATCGAGTGCGTCGGCTTCCCGGTGGCAGGGTCAACAGGGTTCCAGAGACTGGTAAGCAGAAAGCCTGGTCGCCGGACCCCCATAGCCCAGGAGAGACTTTTGACCGTGATTTCTTTGGGAGAACCGCTAAACTCGCGATGGGTCACCTCACAGTAATCGTGGTCATCCCCCGAGTAGACATGGACAAGATTCGGGCCTGCCTTCGTGACCAAGTCCTTGGAGATAGTTTGCGTGAGAACGTTCTGATACTGGTATCCAGCAGCAATCGAGAGGGCATTCCGCTCATCTTCTTCCGGTTCACCATCTGATGGCGGGTAATGCTCTCGCAAAGGCCCGCACGGCGTGGCCGGTTTGCGATACAAGGGAACATGAGTAAGGAGAATGGCAGGGAACCCTACAATCTCCGGTTGGAGTTTTTGATAAAGCGTAGGCTGTGAGAGGTCCACGACTTTATGGTCGAACACATGGCCTTCACTTTGGTTCCTCATCAGGCGCAATTCTCCCATTTCCGCCTTGCCACGGTGAACGTTCATATTGTTCAGGAAATCCTCTGCTTCCTGCCAGATCCGCTCGTTTGGCGGGTGTCCGTCCCCAGACCCTGAACTTCCGGTCTCTGGGTCAGGCTGGTCCATGGCGCTCAATGATACCGTGTCGACCGAAACAAAAGTGTGGTTTCCAATAACATCAACGCGGTTACTTTGGCCAAAATATGTCTGGAACCGATCGCGGACAGGCAGCTGAACCCCGGTTCCGAATCCCAAATCGTGATTCCCAGGGAGACTAGCGATCATCCTCCGGCCACGGGGATTGCCTGAGTGCGGATCACCCTCATTCCACTGGTTCGAGAATATCCTCACGAACGACGATACTCATTCTTCCAGAACGAATCCTTGTATTTCTGGTAGCGCTTCTCGGGACTGGAGCTGTGCGAGGTTGCCCACTCTCTTCCCCCATCAAACAGGTCACCGAGGAACAACACCGAGTCCGGGCCCAGATTTCGTTGAATAGATGAAAAGGACCGCCGCAGATATTGATCGGTGAACTTCACTGTCAAAGTGGACAGAGGCCATGGCCGACCGGGGTAGGTATGAGGGTCGACCAGCTGAGGGTCTGCGATGAAAGCAACATGATGTGGCGCTGCATCTCGAGGCTAAGAATAGAAATACCGAGTTAGCAACAGATGATTCCCGCGAGGTTGATTGTTCGGAATCAAATACTGACCCAGTTTTCCCAGTTTTCCCAGGCGCACTTCTCCAAGCTATCCTGGAACACGACCCGTTCCCCCCACCAGAGCGTAACGAACCAGAGAACAGCCAGGGCATTCGTGACTGTAAATATGCGTCGGAACATCCTCCATAGCCGTGTTGTGAGCGCATGACTGCCGCGAGAGTTCTCGGTGTTGCTGAAGCTCAGAGCAATCCAATGAGCTTGTAGGTCGGCGACCCATTGTCGTAGCCACGGTGGCAACGTGTCGAGGAGACGGCGCTGGCCATTGGATGAGTCGACATAATAATCGCGACGGGCTGGACGGTAGGCATCCGCGTTCGCGCTGTTTGGATATGAATAACTCATGCTTGCTGTGTCAATCCAAAAGTGGCCAAAGCGAAGCTGTCTGCGGCATTGCTCCGCCTTTACACGGAAGTTGTGACAGGATGTCGGCCAGCGGCGTAGACGGTTCTCATTGGGAGAAGAGCGACACTCAACGTTGCAGATGGCGAACACAGGGCACTATGGCCAACCGAGGGTGTGAAGTGAACCACACAGGGGGTCGGTCTCCTGGCCTGGAGATCTCCACTGAGCCGCGGAGGTGGGTCACGTGAAGGCACCGGTGGTTAAGGTTAGAACAATCGTGGGTCTAGAAGTCTATTAATAGTGCCCTTTGTTGTCTTGATCTACAGCCCACCCGAAGAATCGCTTTGTATAATAATAAATAATATTCCTTGACGGTCGATCGATTACCAGGTAGCTGGGGAAAAAGTATCGACACTCGAAGTCGAGCTGGTATGAATACATGACCGAGATAAGAATATCAGCAGATCCCCCAAAGCGCAGTATACAGTATTAGGCTCTAAACAAATACCCCACCCATGACCCAAATGATTTTCCTCGAGACACCAATCCTCCAATCTAGGTAGTATGAAACACGACAAAAGAAAAAGGGGTATGAATAGTAGACATGCTTTTGATCAAAGAAGGGAAAGTGACGGGACGGACGGCACGACGATGCCTGCTTAGGTTGTGGTCTTGGGACAACATTCTCCACCTCGCGTACAGCCATCGCCGCATGCCAGGAGACACGCCCGTGAGTCTTCCTCTCGCAGACTAGAAGGGCCGTTGCTGGAATAGGATGAAGCGGGTTGGTTGTCTTCAACATCGCTTCCCGGTGCGAATTCGGGCTGGATCGTGGTTGAATGAATGCCGTAGGCGTGGAGGCATCTTCTCACCTGTCTAGCCAGGCGCATATACCGCTCTGAGCCCTCCCCTTTGATCTCCGTATCTACTTGAATGTGGATCGAAGCGACGTGCTTCGTGTCACTCAATTGCCAAACATGTAAATCGTGGGAGCTGATGATACCAGGAAGTCGCTCAATGTCTTCTTTGATATGGTCAATACTCATGCCAGGAGGAACCGCCTGTAAGAGAATTCTCGATGCGGCCTTGCAAAGAGGGATAGCCGAAGCAAGAATGATCACGGTGATCACCAACGAAATGCCAGGGTCAACGTAGAACCTCCACTCATAGTCGGTCAACCAAATAACCAGGGCAGACGCGATGACACCAACGTTGCCCAGCGCATCACCCATGACATGCAGAAAGACACCCCGCATGTTGAGATCATGTCCATGTCCATGGCCGTGGCCATGACCATGACCATGACCATGCTTGGAGTCCTTCGACTTGGGCTGCGCGTGGTTGTGGAATTTATGGACGTCGTCGTCCACTGTAGCATTTGGTAAAAGGGGTGCGTTGGCTTCGTCAGTATACTTGCGCGCTCGGTCTTTGTGGCTCAGGAGTGCAGATCGCTCTGACGTTTCAGCGACGTTAGTTTGGTCGCTGTCCGACTCGGACGACTGCTCCTCATCGACATAGCGGCTGCGACCGATGATTTCCTGTCTCATTGTCGCCGGGTGTACCTGGATGTCTTCCACGTTACCGCTGTATCTGGGAGATCCGCGATGTTGGCTATCAAGAGTTCGGCGTCTTCGAGTATCGGGAGAAGGAAGTGTACACTCGTCCTGTATTGGTCTGGTTAAGGGCTGATCGTTTATGACACGGTTGCGGAAGATGGAACGTACTGCGATTCCCCGCGCGGGGTCACTTCCGCCATGGGAAATATAGCCCTGCTCAGCGACATCCACATCCTCAACACCATGGGCTTCACCATGGCTGTGGCCATGGCCATGCCCGTGGGAGTGATCGTGGAACAACAAAAGACCCAAGAGATTCGACAACAGACCAAAGCAACCGACAATGCAAACGAGCTTCGGGTTTTGCACCTCCTGGGGTTCCACCAGGCGTTGAATCGCTTCTAGGAAAATCGACATGCACAAAGCGACGAGGAAGACACCGTTGACTAAGGCTCCGAGGGTTTCCGCACGTTGCCACTATAATGAACAGATCACGGTCAGCTTGTACTCCGCCCCCACTCGCAGGAACAAAGAGCCTACCCCATAAGTGTACATCTTGGAAGTGGTGGAATTGGTCTCCTGGTTGGCGACCTTGACGGCCCATAAACCCACACACAAGGACAGGACATCATTAAGCTTGACATAGTTAGCCGTTGGCCGGTGTCGATACTGGGATCCGCAGGAAATACATACCATATGAAACGAATCAGCAACAAGGGCAAGCGAGTGGACGGCATAGCCTGCAAGGCGTGAGATAGAGAACGAGGCACCACCGGTCCCTGGATACTAACCAACGGTCAATTCTAAGAGAAAGAATGCGGAGTCGATGACCAACAGGATTATGATCCTGTTGGTTTTGGAGAGGCCCATGATGGTGAGATTGATGCGGCGCGCTTGGTGGCGCGGGTCCGCGAAAAGAGAGATAACGACCACCCGATCTCCAGGGGGCGCAAACAAACGATTCCGAGTGCTATGTCCAGAGAAGATGCACGAGGGGCAAGAGGAAGAGATTTATAGAGCGACAAACAAGCGAAATGAGAGGGTTAGGGTGGAAGAGAGAGTGAGAGAAAAAAAACAGGACTATATCAGTAGCATCATCACTAGTAGTGACTACCCCGTTTAGTTCAACAATTGGTGTCTGGAAAAACCGCATCCAGCGGCTTTCTCCGATTCCGGGCCGGTTGCTCGTAGTGGCGTCATGCTCCCTGCTCATGGCCTCAGGCAAGCGTGGCGCACCCCGTGCAGCTCTCATCGTCAACAAAACACAGCTCCTAATCCCGCCACTTCTCTCACGGTGTTTTGAGGTGTATCAACCTCGATTTTTAAACATTGCGGGCGTGAATATTATTGCTATTTCTGGCTAGATCCATCGACTTCACGGAACGATGCCATCCCCTCCGTGCACCCACTTCACCACACGTTCAACCCCACCACCCGGTAGGGCAACCCGGCACATTTCTCGATGTTTATTTCCCGGAGCAACTAAATTTGATATGTGGAGGCACTGGAGGGAGCTTCTCTACTCCAGGCTACTATCTTACCCCAAGCTGGTCATATTGGACCCCGGATCACAGATCATCCGAAGAAAATCTTCAAGTCATTGAAGGATGACCGTACGTCTCTCGTGCCTGAGAAGGACGATGGCTGGCTATATTATAGGTTTCGATCAGACACGTGCAACCGTATGAAAACGCTCGGCCAACGCACACTAATGCAAGCTGACGGAGTAGCGGTGTCACATGATCGGGGGAATATCCCGTAGCGAGATGAGGCACTAACCGAATAGAGGTTTCATCAAGGCTACTACGTGCCCTAACTACCAAGGTACCTGCTGAGGTTTGACGAGCAGTTTCTGCTGTCGAGAAGAATGGAAGGGTTTGGTCTCTCCTTCGGTACTCCTACGCCTGCATACTCTGCAATAGCACAGTGACAGTTCGTCTAAAAGAATGTATTGGCGAGCAGATATCAATATATGACATGTATGTTTGATTCTCTGGTCGGTGGGAATGCGCTTATATTGCTTGGGATGGCATTGGACTTAACCGCGCGGAGAGTGGAGAATAAGGAGGGAAGAAAAATAAAAATAAAAAATAAAAAGAGCGAGAGAAAGAAAGAGAAAGAAAACAAAAGAAAGGAAAGATGGGTATAATGCAAGGTAAGTATGATTTGAACTGCAACCCTGCACAGACAAACCTGACCATATTCGACTCTCCCAGCATCGCCAATCTGATGACTACGAGTCTTCCTTCTCCTTCCGGCCGTAAACCAGATAGTATCGAGAGTAGATATGTAGCCTCCGGTCTAATAATTCTCGTCGAACCCCGACTAAAAGCACCTGAATCTGATCAACACTCCAACCCAAGAATCGAGTGAACAGCGCCAACGAGTACGCATCGAGAGCCTCAAGCATATTGGCTTGTTGGTAGCGTCCCAGTTCCTTCAGCTTAGGGTCTTTAGCCCATGGCGAAAAAGGCACCTGGAGAAGTCAACAGGACCGGCCCTCCGTCATCAACGAGCTACCAACCTTGAATATTTCCTCCGTCACATCCGTGAAGCCAGTCTCGGTCATCCACTGCTTGTAATTTTTCGCCGCTCCCATCTCTTTGCCAAACTTTCTGCTCGCCTCGATCAACATATCCCGCCATTCAGATAGATACGGCGCCTTCGAAATACTATCGTCATCGGAGAAGATGTCGACGGTGGGTTCCATCATTTCAAACCAGCCCCCAGGAACGAGGTTCTGATGTGCTTGGTGAAAGAGATGCGGGAAATCCTTGACGCATCCCTCAACACTCCGAGCATGGATGAAATCAAATGGTTGGGTGAAGTTCCACGGAAGTTCGAAGTCGTCGATCTCAAAGACACAATTCGGTGGAACCCTGGTACAGTTATACTCCAGAACTACTCCCATTTTCTACTTCTGAAGTCAAGCAGGCTCATACCATGAAGGTTGAATCGGGCTCAGGTCCGTCCCTACGGCCAATTAGCAACGAAAGTAGAATGTGGGTGTTGACTGTTCTAACCAATGACCTGTGCCTCCGGGTACTGGCTGTGCATTGTCAGTGTCGTGCTCCCACGATGTTGAGCTTCGTACTCAGCCATGTCAATCGCCCACAATCCCGTTCCCGTTCCTAGATCTAGGATTCTTCCTGGGTTTTCCGATATGGGAGATTGATATAATGCTCCCCCCAGCACGAGACTACATATGTGGTGACCCTTCCGGAAGTGAGAGAAGTAACTGGCAGGCGGAAGTGAAGAATTGGAATACCAGGTCTAATCGATCTTGTTCTCGTTCATCATTTGGCTGTGCGATTTCCATCAATCTATGACCAGATAATTGATGATAGTGAGGGCTTACAATGACATATTCTCCTGGTCGATATGCATGATACCGCCGTCCATTCTACGGGGCTATGTCAGTGGTTGGAAATGATGGACGGTGATTGAGAATCAGACCTCATATCTGGAATAGGAAACGTTAGATTTAGCTTTATGGGTTTTAACACTAAAATACCTACTGGTAATTTAAGATACTCGACGACAAAGATGTCGTCGAACTGCCGGCCCTGTTGGTTGTAATTTAGTTTGGGGGTCGAGTCAGCGACCACGGAAACCCTAAACGATACGTACGCGCTGGAGTAATCCTCCTCACTATAGAGATCCGCGTCGGCCTGAACGCAGATTCACATTCATTTTAATAGAGTTCTATCATTTACCTTCGCCAACTGCTGGAGCACTAACCTCGGGAGCGATGGGTGGATCGGCATTCGGTTGCGAGCACATGGCGTGTCTAGTGGGATCAATATGACGGATCACAAATGGACCAAGAGGGTCCCTGATCGTTTATAAGCCATGTGGACTGCTGCGACAAAAGGCAAACACATGAGACACAAGGATTCGGCCAAAGGAAAAACCGCTTGCGAAGCCCTTGTCTCAAGATATAATGCCGCCAGCTATCGGTTGCATGATTGGATTTTTAGGGCAACGTGCCGTATCATAGCGCTGCACTAATGAGCCAAGAGCCACCTGCCAACGGCAAGAGTTTCAATAAACGGAGCGTCCTCCGAGGGATCGGCTGCTCCGACAGGTCAGCCATTTCTTAGACGGTGGAGATACCTGCAGGACCGTTTTAATATGGGGGCGGGGGTGAAGTGCTAACTACCGGTCGACGGTGCATCCTTTGGTACGTGTGGAAGGTAAAGAAGAAGAGAGAACGGTGTAAATAACATAGTTTTGTCCGATCGCCCAGTTTTTTGCCTTTTTTTTTTCTTCCTTCTCGCTTTCCCTGTTTTTGTCCTACGTGCTGATGTGGTGCGAGATCGAAGCATGTTTCAGTTTCTTTTTCAACCTTGGATCATCGCCTTAGCAGGGGTCGTCTATCTGATTGCGTTGGCTGTCTATCGATTATGGCTGTCCCCATTGGCCAAGTTCCCCGGCCCTAAACTGGCTGCGCTGACATTATGGTATGAACTGTACTACGATATTTACTGCGAAGGCCAGTATACATTCCAAATCATTCGGATGCATGAAAAATATGGTACTACCCACAGCAAGCTATGAAGAGGGCAAAGGATAGAGACATAGGGCTAACTGTATGTACCGGAATCCTAGGTCCTATCGTCCGCATCAGCCCCTGGGAACTCCACATCAGCGACCCCGACTATTATGAAGTGTTATATTCTCGAGACAGCCCGCGGAATAAGTATGAATATTATACCCGGCAATTCGGGCTAACCAAGACGGCAATGGCGACAGTAGATCACTATCACCACCGCCTCCTGCGCTCCAACATGAACCCGTACTTTGCCATGACTCGGATACGAAAGCTCGAACCTTTGATCCAGGCGTTGGTAGACAAGCTGTGCGACCGTCTGAGGGAATTCCAGGGAACAGGAACCCCGGTCGCTCTTCAGTACCCATTTACCTGTTTCGCCACTGATGTTGTCACCGATTACACGATGGGTGCTGGGTTCCACTACCTTGATGAACCGGACTTCGTTCCTCGGTGGAGCAGGACATTGAGTGGAGTTGCGAAATCGGGTGTCTATATCAAGCCCTTCCCGTGGCTTCTCAAAGTATTTACTGCTCTACCCGAACGTTGGTTGTCCTGGTTAAATCCGGAGATGGACTTGACATTCCATTTTCAACGTCGCTGCCGTGACGTTATAACGTCGATCATGGAGGAGCAAAATGCCAACGGATATGACAAGCTTAAGAGTCAATTTAGCCATCCCACCTTCTTTCATGATGTGCTCAATAGCAATCTTCCACCGGAAGAGAAATCTCCGGAGCGCTTATGGCAGGAAGTTCAGGTAGTGGTCGGTGCAGGCGCTGAGACTACCGGCAAAGCTTTGACTTGGACGATGTTTTACCTTCTTCACAGCCCAGACAAGCTGCAGAAATTGAGAGAGGAGCTCAACCAGCTGGATCCTGGTCGGACAGCTACTCTGTTGGACTTTGAGAAAATGCCTTACCTGGTATGCCCTGGTGGAAGTATCTGTGTTGGTGATTCCATCCGACTAACTGTCTGACACTTAGACATCGGTCATTCTTGAGGGGCTAAGGTCTGTCCCTTTTGTTATGAACAGACATTAAAGATGCGTGTTTTTTGACTAACATTTCAATCTAGACTTTCGTACGGCCTCAGTACCCGATTGCAAAGAGTGGCTCCCGATAGAGCCCTACAGTTTAGAGAATGGTCTATACCCGCCGGGGTGAGTTTATGGATCTCTGTCTTAGCTTGTTGGTGATTATATACCTGATGAAACAGACCCCCGTTGGAATGTCAAGCGCGTTGATGCACCACGACGAACGAATATTTCCCGACTCACATATGTTTCTTCCTGAGCGCTGGCTGGACCTGGATCAGCGGAAGCATTTGGAAAAGTATATGGTGGCGTTTACCAAAGGATCAAGACAATGCATTGGCATGAAGTATGCTTCCTTTCCCTCACGGTCTATCGTACATACTAATGCTTGAACAGTCTCGCGCGGTCTGAGATTCTCCTTGCCCTTCCTAAGGTCCTCAGAGAACTAGATTTTGAGTTGTATGAAACTACATTGGAGGATGTGACGCTTGCACATGATATGTTTCTTCCCTTCCCGAAGATGGATAGCAAGGGCGTGCGGGTTTTAGTGAAATAGTGGATCTATAAAGAATGTTCCAATGGATGTATATATCATGTACACTCATGTCGATGGCTTGAAAAGAATCAGATATTGAAACGGTCTTGGTAGTCGCTGATGTTGGTGGGGCTAGCAACCTTGAAGTTTGGGACCGCCGACAAATATATAATTAGATTCAATCCATATCAAAATTGAAGTTCCGCAGTGAGCCTTGATACTATAATTCTGTTAGTGTTTATCTTGTATAGACTCTATTAATTTCAATCAATGCCCGACCGATTACGTGTGCAGGCCTAACGGTACCGGTGAAAAGGTTGGCCTCTATAACACCTCCTAGTTGAGACCCGATGGTGGAGGGATCAAAGTATTTTCTCCCTACAAAGGTTTTAGTTAATAATTCAAAAAAGTCTCAAACTTTACAACAAGTCCTCGATGGTCTAACGGTCATGATTTCCGCTTGTCATCTCATACGAGAACAAGCGCGGGAGACCTGGGTTCGACTCCCAGTCGGGGAGATTTTTTTTTACTTTTTGTTTCGATATCTCGTGTGTCTCGTATAACCAACCCTCTTGCTTTTGGCGTTGTTCTCTTTTCCTACTTTCTTTGCGCATTTACTGTATTCTTTCTCTCCTTTTGTACCTTTTTCATAGATATCGCCCGAGTATCAATCTCTTGAGCGTGAACCAGTTGCAAATTGGCCTAGTGAGCTTCTCAACTCTCCACACAATGTTTAACCACCGCCGATCGATGACATGCGCTCGGACTGGGTAAGGAACCATCCGAGCAGCAACCAAGCGACCGATAAGAAACAAAGCCAATAGTCCATCACGAAACGAGATCACTCCGCATGTACCAACCGATCTTTCGATACCGTCGGGTGGAAGATACCGAACGTTTGTTTCCCTTCGATCTGATCGAGTCGACTAGGCGGGGAAGGACCACCTTCATCACTAGGTTACCGTCCTGTTGTCGCTGAGTTGGTCGAGAACACGCGTTTGAATAGTGGTGGGACACAGGGCACGCAGGCGCATATGATGGCGACGTCGCATTCGACTACACGCCAATAGATCACGGGGTTGTTGTCCCCTAAGTTGCTGTCAGGACTGAGTTCCTGTGGAGACCTCATATGTGATTCATGTTGGCTTACTCCTGATACTCCCTGGTTTGTAGGATTGCATGAGGGATCGCATTCGGAGGCAACTGACGATAGTGATTCTGTTCATGTTAGCATATCCTTCTGATTTCTACCGCACCGCATTGATGGGCTATCTACAGAATACCAGTACAGAACATTGGCATGATTGGCATCCTTCTGGGATGCCGCAGGAGGATCGCATGACATTGGTTGATACTCATTAGTCTGTCAGTTGTCCAAGGTAAAACAAAAGAGAATGAGGGATTAGGGTGAGGTACAAAGGCTCTCTTTCGGAGTGCACTGTATGCCAAAGCATCCGATGGCGATTGAGAGAAGTGGATCGTTCGTACAAACGCACTTCGGACCGGGTGTCGGACATGAAGGCCCATTCAAGGCTTTCGTAATGCAGTCAGCCTGTTGCGTTTTGAGTAGACGCGAGAGAGAAAATACTACAGGAACACTGACGGCGCATGCTGATAGATCGTTGAGAAAGCCATTTGGCGGTGTTGAATTCATCCGTGTCGCACTTAGACAGATATATTCCGTGGTTTACAGGCTGGCTATCGGATAATGCTGGCTCCAGTCGTAGGCCATTTAGGTAGCGTCATCCCAGTCTTTCATGATGCTGCAACAGATGAACGAACAGCTATAAGAATGTCGCCCAGGTCTACTGGGACCGAGTTTACGGGCCATCTGCTCCTAAGCCTCCACAAAGTTCTTCTGTCCTACTTGATAGAGTAGACCATCGATCAAACAGTCCATTGGAACAAAGAGCCTGCATGTTGTTGGAATTTCTGCAAGGAAGCCCGAAGAGATGCCCCTTGCTTGGAAGTTTTGATGAACCACCAGAAAACCCACGTAGACTTGTCACCACGGCCAAGCAGAAGCTCACCAATTGTATCGAGGATTGTTAGTAAATCTGCCTAGTAGCTATAGTCAGTGCAACAGATTCTGTTCTAGACGAGTGGTGGCTACGAATGAACCGTTTTGGTGACACGGGAAGACACGCGTTGTTGATAAGCCCTAAGCAAGGGAACCAGAGAGGCCTGTTGCACCAAAAGTATATCACGCGAATGTTGGCGTATCTCCGCACCTTATAATCTCCCATGAGGATCGTCTGAAATGTCTGGGGCCAGCTGAGGGTTACATTAAACGCGGGCTGCATGCGCACTTTAACCCTAAGAATGATCGGCAAGCCAATCATGAGGATCTCGGAGAATGATGGCTGCCAAAGGATAGAGCTAAAGGCGCTATTTGCTGCACCTAACATACCGGCCAGATTAATAATCTCCACCGCTAAGTAGCTAGCTAACTAGTTAGTTAACTAGGGCTCAGACCAAGGTTAGCATGCGTAAGAGGCCCCCTGCCTCGCATCGTCATTTATCTGGACTTGTCCTTGCACGCTACAGTACTTCGTTCATTTCTTTCCGGATACATTCTCTGTAGATGGTGGCTGTCACAATGTCTCTACCAACATTAGGCAGCGTCTTTCTGGGGCTGGTCCTTTTGTATCTTGCACAGTCAATGCTCCTCCCCAAGAAGGCGTCTGCACCACTGCCTCCAGGCCCGAAGCCGAAGCCGATAATTGGAAATCTGCGGGATCTGCCACGACCTGGACAGCAGGAGTGGGTTCACTGGTTGCAATTCAAGGAGCTCTATGGTATGTGATCACCGCAGCAGACGGCACGGGCGCAACTTGGTAACTTCGATCGCCAGGCCCCATCAGTTCGGTCTCGATGTTTGGCCAAACCATCGTTGTCCTGAATGACCACCAGGTGGCATTTGACCTCATGGAAAAGCGCTCGGCCACATACTCCTCCCGACCTAGAATGGTCTTTGCCGGGGAAATGTAAGTATACCCCAAGGCACACATCGTCCGCATGGCCCACACAGACTATACACATAGTAACACCAAGCAGAGTGGGCTGGGCAGACGTCTTAGGCTTGCAGGGATACTCCGATCGCTTTCGTTTGTATCGCAAAGTGTTGCATCGTGTCCTGGGTACCAAGGCTCTAATGTCACGCTTCAACCCATTGCAGGATATTGAAGTGCGGCGGTTTCTTCTGCGCGTTTTGCAGAAGCCAGATGACTTGATTCAACATATTCGAACGTAAGTCTATGAGCCTACCCGATGGTCGCATATCTGATTTGGGATAGGGAGGTTGGAGCGGTGATTCTAAAGATCGCTTACGGGTATAACATCGAGCCTAATGGCCGCGATCCCCTGGTTGACTTGGCAAACGAAGCAATGGAGAATTTCTCAGTTGCCGGGAACCCGGGGACCTGGCTGGTCGATACCATTCCTCTCTGTAGGGCAGCTTCATGTCTCAGACACCAACTGCCCAGAGGCTGACGAACACAGTGAGACACCTTCCAGCCTGGTTTCCGGGCGCTGGATTCAAGCAGACCGGCTATGCTTGGAGAAAGAAATTGCTCACAACCATTGAGAAGCCATATCAACTTGTGAAGCAGCAAATGCGTCAAGGCTCGTACTCGCCCTCCTACTTGGCCAGTGTCCTCGAACAAAGCGAGGGAAAACCCACCGCTGAAGAAGAGTTTGTGAACAAATGGACGGCCGCATCGCTTTATCTAGGAGGGGCAGACACGGTAATACCCGTCGACACTCTTGTGAGATGTGCAGTGGCTAACAGGCTCTAGACGGTATCGTCATTATCATGCTTCTTCTTGGCAATGGCATTATACCCCGACGTCCAGCGCAAAGCCCAAGAGGAGATCGATCGTGTCATCGGCCCGAACAAGCTTCCCACGTTTGACGATCGTGAGAAACTCCCATACATTGAGGCTGTGGTCAAGGAAACCCTTAGATGGCACCCCGTTGGCCCGATGGGCATTCCGCACTTGGTCACCGAGGATGATGTCTACGAAGCTATCTCATCCCCAAGGGCGCACTAATCCTGCCAAACATCTGGTACGTAAAGTTCCACCCAGTCTATTATATGTCTGACCGTTATAGGTGGTTCACTCATGATCCCAAGATCTACCGTGATCCCGAGGCGTTCAGACCTGAGCGTTTCCTGGGCGATAATCCTGAGCTCGATCCGCATAGCATTGTGTTCGGTTATGGCAGACGCATCTGTCCTGGCCAATTCCTAGCAGATGCAACCGTCTTCCTAAGTACTGCACAGTCTCTGGCAGTTTTGAATTTCTCTCAGCCGGAAGGGGAAGAAGATCTACAGGCTGAATTTCTCCCGGGCGTTATCAGCCACCCGGCCCCATATCGTCTCGAGATCACCCCTCGGAGCGCTGCCCACGAAGCATTGATCCGGTCAGTGGAAGTGGAGCATCCATGGGAAGAGAGCCACGCAAAAGAGCTCGAGAAGGTGGGGTGTTGATGATTAGACGGTGTGATTTTCAAATGGCCGTTGGATGGGTCTCCTAAGTCACATAGCCACACCCATGATTATCAGTAAAGCTCAAGGCAAGAGGCAGATTTATAGACGTGCCTCAGATTTGTTGGAATGGCCGGAGTGCAGCGAGATTGTAGAACCGACCAAACTCACATCCGTCGCACCAACCCATCGTTCGGCAGGGAACGCGGATCGGCCCTTGATCATATCGACGGCGGGGGTTCTTATTAGTTGCGACGGACCAGTTCTACGGCGAGACATATGGTATCTCTGGCTACAGGCAAACAAAAGTCAGGAATGCAGATGTAGCATAGGTGTACACTAGAACGATTGTTAAATAACACCTTCATACCGCCCTATACCTCGTCCTCATAATAAGGCGTATCCTGAGTTTGAGCTTGAATATCTTGAGTAAGCAGCCTTGCCACGAGGGTAAGGTGGGCCTATGGCGTCGGATCAATTACGAGCTCATTGACGGTACAACTAGGGCTCCTAATCACTATATCCTCGCCGAGAGCGAGAGGCATGCTATGTCCCCTGCACTAGCAACAAATGGTCAAATCGTTTATCAAATATCGACGTTAAAGACAAGGGAAGCAAGGTTGGATAGTGTAGCGTGAGGCTGGGCCACTAGATTCAAATAATACTGGAGTATCACTCGAATTGCAGGACCGTGAAGAAAGTAAGGCGATGGTGATCCCGATTTCTCTACATCGTTGCCATTCCCAGGCAATCGATACACTATTGTGTTATAAATAGTCTTGCTGATAACCGAACTACGTGATACCAACTCATGTCCAACTCAGCATCTAACTGATACACCCGGGCTCGTTACTAAAAGTCGCGTGTCGCCATTGTTGATCTCGAGAGTATCTGCGTAAAGCCTGTTGTCGAGTAGACATTTTGTCCGGTGTGATGCTTCCTTTGGAGCTTTTCACCATCAGAGCTGTTGGAATTCAATCTGCAGTTCCGTTTTTTTATGATTGATTCCGACTCACTGCCATGCCCTTAGCGGATATTTGTTTGCAATGACTTGAGAACTGATCTGTAGCCCTCGATGTCTTCAATGGCCCCTACAGTCAACCGACGTACTGTGGTGTACGAGTGAGGCTAGGCCGCAGGATACCTCGGTCGGTTGATCGGTGCTTCCACTCCCTATGTATGGATGCATAGAAAAGCTGGGCAGTAGCCGGCCACAAAAGCAGATCCAGTGGCACGGCGTCCTGGTGGAAACGTATACTATATTTGGCTGCGAAGCCTTCAACCGCGCTGCATCTTCCCGAAACTTCGGAAGCAATTCTGCCACCCCGAGCCATCTGTGCTTCTTATGATAGGCAGAAAATGTAGATCTGCTCTCACTCTAGCTTTGCTGTAGCCCCTTCACTGTGTGGGGAGGTTTGATGCATGACCAATGAGGCTACTGGTGGCTGAGTGTCGTCGGCGAAATTGCGGGTCCAGGCTCCCTTGGTATAGCCGTTCTTCCCAGGCCTCCTGCCGTAGCCGCATTTGCAAAGTCGGGGTGATTTATCTCTTTGTGTTTATGGTATTCCAGTATAGTAGTCATTAATGAGATAACAGGTGAAACAGTTGGTAAAAGCACGGTTGACCTACGGGAAGAGCCACCGCAGTGAGGGTCTCGGTCTTCGAAAACAGATGGCAATCGCCGGCCCTAATAGTCCCAGGCCATAGTGAATCAGGTATTGGTTCAAGCTAAACTGTGAATTTGATATATTCCTCCCTGCCCATTCACTGGTTTTGTGGATTAACTGACCCTGTTAAGAGGATGAATTTTCTGGGAGAGAATAGACATGAAACTTTCTAGTTTCAAAGTGAATGAAGCACGAAGAAATTTACAATCAAAGGCATAGTCGGATGCTTTGTGCCAGATGGCCTAGTGGTGCCAATACGTCTGTAGGGGAGTTGTGATAAGGGGTTATGTTGGAGAAAACAAGGAGACAAGATGCTATGGTAATGTAACGATCGACAATTATTGTTTGGGAACTAGAGACAGATTGGTGTCCTGCGTCACAGGAAGCGGGCCATAACAGCTTATGAACCAGCATCAAGCATTGAGCCACCCACTTCAAGATAGCACTATGTTTTGGATTGCATCCCTCGACTCTAGATTCAAGTGGTACCGATCGAACAGCACAGGTTGGGGGTGTGGAAATTCTTAAATCGTATCCGTCCAGACATCTCCCATCCAACCGCTGCGGTAACTGTGGGAACTCTCCAATGGGCAAGAAGATATTGGTCAAACTCATAAGTGTCATGGCCAGTCATCAGATCTTTTCACCTCTTCTCCGAGACTGAGGGTTTTGTGAGGAGTGCGCAAGTTGCACTCGAGCATATGCAATAGCAACCAGAATAACAAAAATGAACAACAAGATAACAGTCGGTGAGCTCGAACTCTCCTTGGGAGAAGATCCAAGCTCCTTCTCTGTAGGCGAAAACCGGATTTGAGGTTCGGCGAAGGGAATGCGAGGCCTGTCTGTCCTATGGCTACTATTAGACTCATCCATTTGAGACCCTTGATTTGGACTTACTTTGGTGTGTGAAATGGGGGATATTTCCCAGACCGACTGCCATGATGAGGACCGTATTGTGGACTCGGTTGAAATTCAGCGTCTGGATTGTGATGCTGAAGCCAGCGCTCGTAGTCGGTGTTTGGTCTTCCTGTAGCCGGCATTTTGCGTATATGATTAACGAATAACCATCAAGAGACTGAGATAGTATTCCGAATATTCATGAACGAATTCAAACAGGCGAGTCATAACCGGAAGTACGAATATGCACACAAAGAGGAGACCCTTGGAAATATGGCTGCCTGCCCCAACTGCTGTGAGCTTATTTAACATAAACTGGAGACCAAGCTTCGGTCAAACATAGCTTAGCCTCCGAACTTAAACAGACCTTATCTAGGCAGATGATCATAGCGTTGTCTCGGACAATGCTCGGTTGAACCCAAACCACCTGGTGGTCCCATGGGATGACTGTTCATGGTACCCTCTCGGGACTTGCCAGCTCTCGATATAAGCATGAAAAGAGTCCCTGATGATACCTCTCTCAGGACCAACAGGTTGCTATCCAGGCACCCAATATCCAGGCACTTCCACAGATAGGCAGAACAATTCTGGGTTCATCGATTAAAGTTACATCCGTGGGTTGCCTTGGCCTCTCCACCACGGACGTAACTGGGCTATCACACGAAGATTACCTAATTAATATTGGCCAAGCCCGCCTTACGTATATCTGGTGTCTATTACCACACCTTCCTCGGTAGGTTCAGGGTCCTGCTAGGAATGCTAGCGACGTATTGGGCCGTATTATCCCGTGTTGTCGCATGGGTGTACGAGCCAAGACTTCCCAGAAGAAAACCAAACGTCAGCACTGAGCTAAAATAAGGGTCCATGTCTTAAAATATTCGAGCCAAAATAGTTCCATCCAATTGGAGAGAAAGTACTTGCCAGCGTTTGCCCGTTCTCCACAGGAAAAGGCCAATCAAATAAATTTGTCTTGACCACCTAAATCATATCGAGGTAGAGATCTGCGTCGAAACTCGTTATGGGATGACAACAGGGAAGGATGCCTAGGCATCTGACCGGGGGACACTTAGCGGAGCATCACAGTGAAGTAATGGCTCAAAATTCATAAGATTGTCCCGTTGTTGCCTTGTATTGACTATGCAATTTTCCCATCATGTGAAGAGGCATATGGTACAAAACATATAGTAAAAGTGAAGCTAGGCATGTGCCTCTGGACAACCAACATTGAAACTCGGCAAACAATGAGACGGGTGAGACTGAGAGCGGGCGAGAGGGGAATTGTCGACTAGCGCTTTACATACTTTAGCCTGTTTCAAGAAGTCTAACAGAGAGAGGCTGTCTACGTGGAGAATGACGCGGGGATACGATCAATCTATCTAAGATGGCCTGGTACGAGATCATCGCTGGTCCGATGAACCGTTCCGTTCATGTCCAACGAAGAAACACGTTTAGGATACTGATACAAGCAACTGTAAGCACACCTTCGGTATCGCGGTTTGGGAAATAATACTTCTGTATCCTGTTGACGGAGACGTGTTAGGGTTATCGGGTCATGTGCCGTGATGGATCGCAATAGGATTCGGGACATGGTCTACCAAGGAACGACTCGAGAGCTGGGGCTAAAATATTGACATACTACTAGACCTCTCTTTTGATTGGGATTTGGACCGGGGCACCTAGTATTCACAAGATCAGAAGGATTTAGTGGAGCCCGCCATGTGAAGTTATGGGTGAGACAAGTGAAAGACGTCAATTGAATACTATGATAGTAGAACCCAGTAAGGGAGATATCCCCAACTGTACATGTACTCGTACACAGCAGCTATGCAACAAGTTTTTCCCAGAAATTTTAGAGATTTTTGTTACATATTCCTGCCGCAGTGCTCACTAATGAGTACCCCACCCCACATTATGGGTGCAAAAATAAGCATACGTTGCCCCCCAGATAAGTTCCACGCGCTAAATATCTAAAGAGAGTAGAAGCCTCCTATCACAGACTCTTGATCCCGGCGATATAGACTGGGCCGCTTTTTAATATTGGGACTGTCAAAAGACGAAATCCATATATAAGTGTAGTATATTAGACTCAAGCTGATCGTGTAACCAATTTTATCAATATATTTCTACAAAATGCCTTTTATTTAAATATATAGCTTTGGATCAGGCCTGTGAAAACCATACTGTTCCAGCAGCAGCATAGATCGGCAGTGCTTACTGGCCTTGAAATGGTGCCATGTTGAAAGGCTAAGTATACTCATCGTGTGCCGATAAGCAGTCATGTCCATTATTCTAGGAAAAAGAAGCTTCCAGCTAGATATATCAGCCTAGGTTATTGCTGTGTTGGTGATATCCCGAGATGCTAGTAGCCTGGACTATTGAACTGACTTGAAGCGGTTTAAGCACGTTAATATTCTTTTGATACGAGAGTTGACCTCTTTTGTATCGAGGGGTCATTAACCCACGTTGGATGCATGTTATGATCAAATTAGTGAAAGCTTTGTATACAATCCCACCAAGTTGTTGCTTTCATGCACAAGCTCTTAGTTTAGTTACTTTTAGTCTTTAACTTAGGTGGGTTTCGGTCCCACCCTTCGAAAAACTTTCTTCCTCACCTATAGGGAGTAAGTTCAAGCATGCAGCTTCCTACCTTGAAACCCTAGCTTATGCATAGTCCATATGGAGTAGCCTGTCACGTTTACAGACCGTAATGCACTGCCATGATTGGTAGAATTCCAATTTTCAACTCAGTGGATCACCAGACGTTGCGGCTCAACCTGCCAGCATACGCTGATATAGTCGCCTGATACTAGCGTCTGCTCTACGGAGTAGGATTGTGAGAGAATGAATATCAACCTCTCCTACCGCTAAACCCAGAGCTACTATATCGGATATAATTCTGGCTTGGTATATCACGCTGCCTGTATGGTCAGTCACAGCAAAACAACGACTGCTAAGCGAGCTGCCGCCATTGCCAAGATACGTGGACTCTACCCGCCATGGATCCACCAGTCGGCAGTTATTCTCTAGTTAGTAGTAATTTCCCACCTAATTGGCTTGCCCATAGCCGGAGACCGTTTGATATAGATTAACTCGCCGTTAGTTCGTGGTTCGATGGAATTAGGGCTTCCAAAACCTACGAGAGAGACGAACTCCAGTGGACCTTCGGCTACCCTCTCGGCTACAGAATACGGGCAGTACTCCGAAGTAGTCTACGCGCGCGAACAATGGCCCACTGCTGATCCTCCTGCTTAGAGGATAGCACTTAAATCAGGGGGCTCTTTGAAGGAGGTTACCAAGTGATAGATAAGATGTGATAGGCCTCATACGATGCTCACTGCTTCACTTTTCTTCTGTTAATTGTTTACATTGTCTAACTACTGTCCACTCATTTATTTCGTCATTGAAGATTCTAATTTCTATTGTCACTCTTTGTTCTCTGTTCCTCTTTGTTTTTCTTCACTTATAGATGCTTTAAAATGCGTTCTGCATCATTTCTCCTATGGGGTCTGGCACCTCTTCTTTTATCCGCCCAACTCACTGGTAGAGTTGGGCCCCTGAAGTCAGCGGCTGAGAAAGCCGCGTATAAAACGTGCAATGTTCTTGATTACGGAGCAGTCGCCGACTTGTCAACCGACATCAGTGAGCCATTACTCGACGCCTTTGCAGATTGTAATGGCGGTGGTCTGGTGTATGTTCCCGAAGGAGAGTATGCCTTGTCCAGCTGGGTGCTCTTCGATAAAGGAAAGTCCTGGGCTTTGCAACTTGACGGCGTGATCTACCGCAATGGAACCGGCGGCGGCAATATGATCGCTTTTGATCACACGAGCGATTTTGAGATGTTCAGCAGCAACGGAAAGGGTGCGATTCAGGGACTCGGGTATGAGTTTCGTATTGCGGGCGAATCGACGAATACCAGGACTCTGAGGTTGCAGAAGACATCCTCCTTTGCCGTTCATGATATTATCTTGGTTGATTCTCCAGCTTTCCATTTGTCGCTTGACACTGTGACCGATGGTGAAGTTTATAATGTGGTCGTCCGCGGAGGCAGCTCAGGTGGGCTCGATGGGATTGATGTGTGGGGTGAGAATGTCTGGGTCCATGATGTGAGTCCGCTGATATTGACTGCCTGGGAAGTAACTCGCTGACGGACGATATATAGGTCGAAGTCACTAATAAGGATGAGTGTGTGACCGTCAAGGTACGAGGGCACTCAGATTGGCTTCATGGCCCACTTGCTAACGATATCCATCCCAGAGTCCATCCCATAACTTGTTAATCGAGAACGTCTACTGCAACTGGAGTGGAGGTTGCGCAATTGGATCCATTACCTCAGGCACGAATATCACAGACATCATCTACCGCAACGTGTACACTCGTTCGTCCAACCAGATGTTTATGATCAAGAGTAACGGGGGTGACGGATACGTGAGGAATTTGGCCCTGGAGAACTTCATTGGTAAATCCACTTTCTCTTCTCGTTTTGCACACTATGCCAGAAACAATTGCTAAGGAGGGAACTATGATCAGGACACGGAAATGCTTATTCCCTGGACATTGACAGCGCGTGGAGCAACATTGCGACGGCTGACGGAGATGGTGTGGAGTTTTCAAATATCACCGTATCGAATTGGAAGGGCACCGAAGCGAATGGTGCGCAACGTGGTCCGATCAAGATCCTTTGTCCTGATGACAACCCTTGCTACGATATTACAATCAAGGACTTTGCCATGTGGACGGAAACCGGAGACAGCCAGACTTATTTCTGCCAGAGCGCTTATGGGGACGGATTCTGTCTCCAGGACGGTGACGATCTGAAGGAGTACACCACGACACTGACTGCCACCAGCGCGCCGACGGGCTACGCAGCACCCACCATGAAGGAGGATCTTTCCGAAGGGATGGCTTTGAACACATCCATTGCGATTCCGACTATCCCCGCCTCGTTCTACCCCGGCGTGACGCCATACAGCCGCATCGCAGGCGGCAGCTTGGCAGCTGTTACTCCCAGCTCGGCAACTGTAACTCCCAGCTCAAGGGTGGTATCCCCTTCGAGAGCGGCAACATCCAGCTCAAGTTTCGTCGCATGGAGTTCTTCGGCTCGTGTCTCGTCGTCCCCGAGGCCTGTCGGCTCGCCGTCCTTCAC